CTTTGTCACAAGCTATTGCATTGATTGATAAGCTGACACAATAGCACTTTTAAAGTTGATAAGTTGAATTTAAAAACTGGAAATTTATTACACATAAATATTTCTTTGATTTTATTTCAGATGACACCGGAGTTCTTTGAAGACTACCAAACGACATCAGTAAAAGTCCAAACTATTCGTAATGCCCGATACAGTGATGGAAGAAGGATTTTTTCAGATATTTGTGCTTCACAAATGACAGAAATTCTATGTGTGCCATTTTACTGTTCTGCTAATGAAACGGAGCTTTTAGTAAAATTTGACAAGGATGACTGCAATAAGTTAGTTCACACCTGGTAAGTTTAATAATTTATGTCAATGTATTGTTTATTTGTAGTTTATAAATTATAAGCATCAACTATCTCCTTCATGCTCATAAATTTTTTCCACCCCTATTTTAAAATTCATTAATCCTTGTTTCATGAAATGTTTTTTAGTTTTAATGAACCATTCAGAAAATTTTTGCAATCATCTAGCGTTCGACGAGTTTTGAATACTTTGAAAAATCTGCTTCAATCATCTTGTAACATATAACCTGCAACTTCCTCTGAATTACAGCCCACCCCTCCATCGATTAGTTCGAATGAAAGTGGAAGTGGAAACACAGAGTACGGAAGCAAGGGAATCATGTCCATCATCTTCGTTGCACTCTTAAAAGAGCTTTTAAAAGCTTGAGTTATCGCTGAAGTTTCACCGTACGATTTTCCAGAAGTATTTCTTGTAGATTATGAATTTCAATTAGCATGAATTTTTGAACTTAGCCAACTTAGCCTGAATATAGTTGCACTTAGCACGAACGTTGTTATCTTAACATTAATATATTGCACTAAACATGAATATTTGCACTCAGCATGAATATATGCAATATAGCAGCTTTGCTCGCTTCGGCACTCATACATTCAATCTACTATACAATCATAGCACAATACATTGAATTTTTTTAAACGGATGATTTTAGTTCTTATTCATATAAATACTAATTTGTTGATATAAGAGCATGGAATTTACTCTCTCCTTGAAAATGGACAATCATTAATAGTAGAAAGAAATAAACAATGAGTTAGTTAAATATGAATTTTCACCGAGTTATTTATAATGAGCTTTGTGTTCACGTTTGAGATGACAAATACAAATGTTTTTAAGTAATCCCAGTTTGTTTTTTTTGACAAATAAATGGAATGTTAAAAACTACAGTTGTCAGTTAGTATTTCTCGCTTGAATTTTAAAATGCCATGCTTGTTAAAATTGAATGTTGCCATTTCTATTTAGCAATACAAATTATTTGTAGTGTAATCATTTGATGTAATTTTTACTGAAAAACCCTCCGTTTGCCTGATAGTGTCAACACAGTATATTGTGCAACAACTTTTTGGATTATTACTTGTTGTACTGACTTCCAAGTTCCAAGTAAATCAATCGTCTTAAAAAGTCATCAATACATCCATAAATGTAGCTACCTTGGTCTTTAGTGCAGAATCAAATGCAAATTAATGCGTTTTTTTACATACAAGTTTGACTTGTGGCGTGTACAGCTTCTTACACCATTTTTTTTTACATATGTGAAGGTTTCATCGTCCATTTATGACCGATCAAGAAAGGCATTAAGATAATCTTAACGATTTGAGCGTTTAATGCACTTGCAAGTTGCACTTGCCACTACCAAAATAACTAGGACATAGTTTTCATTCGTTCATACAATTTCGATTTTGCTTTGTGGATGTTTCAAATCATGATTAACTCGGCTTGGAGCATCAATGATAGACCATTGAGTGCTTGTTGTGTATGTTACTGAAAAGCAATTTTTTGTGCAGAAAAGAGTCCGAAAATTTCCCAAGACTGGTATGCTATACAGTAAAATATTAACATTCATAGTTTTGTGTTTTGACTTGTAGAACTAGCTGACTATTTCTCAGCCAAAATGTTCCTTAAATAAAAATACAGTTCTCACGAATATTCCTGTGTTACATACTGGTGACAATCATGGCGATCTGGTAGTGCAATTAACATCGAAGCTAGTGTAGATGCTAAAAATATTTCTCTAAAAAACTCAGTTGAAATGTACCAATGATTTTTTTGCTTAAAATCGGGTGAGGGGGGTAAAATATATCTTGAGGGGTGAACAATTTGTTATGAAGGGAAATATAAATGTTTGGGGTGGCACTCTCTTGAAGCCCTAAGTGAGTCCATCCATAGTTACAATAACTTTTCTACACCCCCGGCTTTTAGAGATACTACATATTACCATTAATTTTGCATGTAATATTTTCTCTAATGAATGTCCTTTTCAACTAACATGTCAGGGGAATGTTGGGCGGTGCAAACTTTGAAAATATGGGGTCAAGATATCAAAAGATGTTAGTTTGTAAAATTCTGTTATTTGCATTATATGCAGTTATGTTTTTTTTAGTTCAGTATATAATAAAAATCTTACCAAAGAGTATAAATTGCAGCAAATTTTCCTTATTGTTACTGACAAATACGAAACGATTTTACAGTTTGGTATTAATTGTGATTATCATGGGAATTAGAGGCTTTTCTATTTTTTCACTACAATTATTCATATTGGGATTAATTTAAGCTCAAATTTATGCATAACTTTTGAGGATTATAACAATTAAATAAGAAAAATTAAAAATAATTTGCAATTTCAAAGGTAACTAAACGTTCGCTTACACATCAGCGAAATTTCATAAAACTTTGTTACCTTGAACTACATGTGTCATATTTTACTCCTATATGCCTTTTAGCTGCATCATGTGAGCAAGTCATTACAAAAGTGCTTTTCGGTAACAGAATTCTCATTCTAAAAAGTGTGATATTTGTAAAATTTCACAGTCACATCAACCATTGTTAGCTAGCTTAGCTACCCATTTCCACCAAAGTCTTTTGCAAATCTTACGTGCCGGTGATTATAGCAACGTTTTCCAATCTGCTCACTTTTTTATACACCTTGTATATATTGAAAAATAAAAGTTTCTCCGGATTTTTTAAATAATATTATTGAGCTTTCGACTCGGTGCTTCGATGCATATGTTTCAATTCATTGTAAATAAGTGTCAAAGAAATCTCTGCCTCCGTAAATTCGGCTAACAGCAATGCATCAGCACGCAAACATAAATTTTGGAAAAAAAGAGCTAGCTCTTTTTGACACTTTAAAGTGACACTTTTGCTAACGGGAAAAAAATTGAATGAGCTTGCTCAAAAATGACACAAATAAAACGAAATCCGAACTCATAATGTAAAAATAAATGGCACATATATATACGTAGTTTTTTAAAGATTAAAGTTGCAAAAAATTTGGTCACTGCATACGCAAACGATCTGCGTCGCATGCAGATCATTTTCATACTAAAATACAATTAGATGAAATTAGTATGAAATTAACCGTATGAAATCAAATTAAATAAAATTACTATGAAATTAGTATGAAATTGAATTTTAGCATCAAATCAATCCAAAATTAATGAGGATTTTAAACAATGTATATTTAGCTTATTAGAGATAACTATACTTGATATGTTATAACTGATGACCATATATCAAATACTAAAAAATCATTACCGTGAATGAATATCCAAACAAAAATTTCGAGTCCAAGACCCTGAGTGTAGTTAATAGCAAGAAAAAATTTTCCATCAACAAAAAATTGAGCACCAGTTGCAGTCCAAACATGTGAAGAGAACACATCTAAACATAGAAAATAAAAATGCATGTCGTCCACAGTTAGAAACAAAGTATATTTTATAGTAAAACACTTTAATTCATTTAAAACATTGAAATTAGGCGTGAAAGAAACAACTGTTTTACAGGATCCATTTCTTCTATTACTGAATGTCAATTTGCATGGAGAGGGTAAATTTAATAATTGTTGCTAAATCAGCATATTAAGTTTGTATAAATAAAATAAAAATATAAATCCCTTACATGTCCAACAAATTTAGGGACTGTTTACATGATACCCGGTAACCGGTAACCGGTTACATGATCCCCGGTAACCTCAGCGAGGCATGAAATGATTTCGAGGTATTGAAAGGAGTCGAAACTTCAAGCGTAAAGATTACAACTGTTTATTAAGCGCCACAAGTCATTCCTGTTGTAATTGTCAAATTAGGCCAAATTGGTTGTTGAAATTTAAAATGTTTTGCGTAGTTATTAAAACAGAATATTGTAAAATGGCTCGTGAAGATTTATCTGATGATAAGTATTGAATTTCCAAAATCCATTTGCCAAAATCACTTATGGCATCGTTGAATCCCGGCTACCCGGGCTCATACAATCAGCCTCTTAGTTATCTCTTATTGGATAAAACAATCACTCATTAACTTGAGAGGTATTAGTAAATTACTAATGAAGATATACGCCCGTATTCTAAAAGCACCCTCACACTCAAACTCAATGAGTGGAGCTTCAAAATCACTCCGTAATTTACTCAACTGAATGTTTGATTTGAAATATCTAGGAGAAAATCTCGCTATAAATGGAGAAATGAATTTTCCAATGATTAGATAAAGAGTGATTTTTATGTCACACTTAATGAGTGTAAGTGCTAGTGAGCTTTTATTGAGTGTGAGAGAGCTTTTAGTGAAAGTTACTGTGAGTGAGCTTTCATTGAGAGTGAGTTGGAGTGGGCTTTTAGTGAGAGTGAGTGTGAGTGAACTTTTAGTGAGAGTGAGTGTGAGTGAGCTTTTAGTGAGAGTGAGTGTGAGAGAGTTTTTGTGAGTGTGAGTGAGCTTTTAGTGAGAGTGAGAGTGAGTGTGAGTGAGCTTTTTGTGAGTGTAAGTGTGAGTGAGTTTTTAGTGAGTGTGAGTGCGAGTGAGCTTTTAGTGAGTGTGAGTGCGTGTGAGCTTTTAGTGAGAGTGAGTGCGTGTGAGCTTTTAGTGAGAGTGAGTGTGAGAGAACTTTTAGAATACGGGCATTAGTCATAAAAAATTACCAAAATATAATCAGTTGAAAGACAAACATTTCAATTTATTGCATTGTTCCATTTTTTTATAAGAAGTGTACATATTCATCAAATTAAATTAAATACTTTGTCACACCTAAAGTTCAAGCTATCAAAAGCTCATTCAAGAGTGCAAAAAAGATGAGGGAAAGAATCCCGTTGCTTCCGTACACAGTGTTTCCACTTCCCTTTGGTGTGTTTTTACCCACTTTTTTTCTGTTTCTATTTGCTGTTGGAAGGTTTTCACGTTGTTTCGGTGTGTGTCCAGTTGTAGTTGGTGTCTTTTCACCAATTCTTGGGGGTTCAGGCCGTAGATCGGACGAAGATGCTGGGTATTTGTTGCAGGACAAGCGAAACTGATTTTTCCAAGTATTCAAAACTCTTCGAATGCTAGATGATTGCGACAATTTTCTGAATGGTTCATCAAAACTAAAAAACATTTCATGAAACAAAGATTAATGAATTTTAAAATAGGGATGCAGAAAATTTATGAGCATGAAAGAGATATTTCATGCTTATAATTTATAAACTTCAAATAAACAATACATTGACCTAAATCATTAAACTTACCAGGTGTGAACTAACTTATTGCAGTCATCCTTGTCAAATTTTACTAAAAGTTCCGTTTCATTAGCAGAACAGTAAAGTGGCACACATTGAATTTCTGTCATTTGTGAAGCACAAATATCTGAAAAAATCCTTCTTCCATCACTGTATCGGGCATTACGAATAGTTGTTAAAGATGTTTGGACTTTTACGGACGCCTTTTGGTAGTCTTCAAAGAACTCCGGTGTCATCTGAAATAAAATCCAAAAAATATTTATGTGTGACCAATTTCCAGTTTTTAAAGTTTTCAACTTATCAACTTTAAAAGTGCTATTGAATCAGTTTATCAATCAATGCAATAGCTTGTGACAAAGTTATTCAATCAATGCTAAAGCAATTCCATTGCGCATATAAATGACTGATTCTTTGCTAACTAGAGACCTACAGGGTGCATGAAAAACTAAACAGATAGGAAAATTCGCCAAAGTTGTCAGCGTGTAAGGTATGGAAAAATCTTTGATGGAAAAATTAGTAAGACTTCCAACGGATCATCTGACAGTAAATGCATGGTATCATGTAGATCGCGTCAGTTGTATCATTTTTAGAGTGAGAATTAAGTTGCCGAGAAGCACTTACATACGAAAATGACAAAGCTAGAAAGCATTTGGAAAATATACGGTTAAAATCTGGCACATGTTGTCCAAGCTTACAAACTTTCGGGAAATTTGGCCATAACGTCCACGAACGCTAGGCATCCACATTGCGATATATTTTGCGTTTTTCTTTTTCAAATTTCATTTTTAATAATTTCATCAATTATTCGTGTTTGGATTAATTTAAGCTCACATTCACGCATAATTGAGGAGGATGATAACAATATGGCACTTAAACATGAAAAATTTAGCATAATTTGCAAATTGGAAACCTAAGCGTTTGTGTACGCTTCAGCGACATTTTCCAAAATTTTGTTAGATTTCAAAATAGCAAATACCATAGTGAATGGTGATAATAACAATGTAATAGTTCTTAAAAGAACTGTTTTAACCAGAACACTAACCCAACAATTCAAAGGAACCGTTTTTACAGCTAGAAAGAGAAACTATGCAATTCGAAAGACTACTCCTCAGGCGTCAACGTCTGCTAAATGAGAACCTCCAAATCATGCTATATTTATAATGTTACAAAAGATCAATGTCATCCCTATTTTTAGAGATGATACTTAAAACAGAGACAGATTAAACACGTAATCCTTTTGTCGGCAAAGGACAAGATTAGTCAATTTAATTAATACCGACTCCATGACGCGTAGCTGGAATAACGAGCGACATTATTTAATAATTTTAAAGTTTTCATCAGAATAAGCATTGGCACAGCAAGTTTTGCTTAAAAGATGTTTTCCAATCGCTGAATCACATAGATTCGGATTTTCACTTTTACACCCACGTTTTGGTAGTTGTCGTAAAGGAACAGTTTTATTCCTGACAGAAGCTGGTACATGCTGTTTTATTCTTTCACTCAACCTTTGAGAAGTCCTACCTACATAGCGGGACTCACACTCACATTTAAACTCGCAGACTACATTACTTGATATTTGAGCAGGGAGAGACTCTTTGAGAGTGGGTGGAAGAATAGTTCTTTTTGAGAATATAAAGACCACATTGCATGCAAAAAGCAAACTCTCAGTGATATTTTTAGTTTCCTTCTCGATGTCATTAGAGGCCTTACCCATCCAGAGAAGTTTAAGGAAAACACTGCACTTGGCCGGTCCGAAAAGTTTATTCCGCTCATTGTTAGTGGATAAGAAAAATTTGTCTAGCATTTTTTCCGGATATCAATTTAACACAAAAATATTCTTTAGTGAGATAAGATCACTAGCAATAAACTCTTTTGAGGACAATCTACCCGTTCGCTTTATCAAATACTTCACTAAAGAAATCTTTTCTCTATGCGAAAGAAAGAGTCAAAGCGTGTGTACAAACCAGTGAAGTTGCTTTGCGATGAATGCATGTTAAGATCTGACCATTGCGTTTGTGTACAAGAACATCTGAAAAAGCTAAGTGATTGCTTGACTCTAGTTCAGAGGTATAATTTAGTGCAGGGTGAAGAGAGCAAAGTTTATTAAGAAAAAGTTCACGATTTTTATCGCTATGAAACAAAGAAAAGGTGTCATCCACACAACGCTTATACCACAGCACATCCGGACAATCTGAAAATGCAAGCATTTTGCATTCATGATAGCCAACAAAAATATTCGCAAGAACCGGTCCAAGTGGAGAACCCATAGCCACCCCGTCAATTTGTTTATACATGGTGTCATCAAAACTAAACTCCACTTGGGTTCTGCAAATCTTGCGTACAGATGACTTTAGTGACGTTTTCCAAATTGTTTAGTTTGTTTTTTTGGTACACCCTAGCTGTAGAGCAGTTCTTGAGAGTAATATCAACAGTTTATTGGCTGATAAAGAAGTATTTGCCTTATAATTTTGTCAAATTAAACTTGGGGATCAAATGAAAACTGGGGATCCAAAGATAGTGTAAAGTTTCATTTATTCTAGAATTGTTTTTAGAGGCTAAACACTATGTCTATGACACGAACGCTTTGTAACAGTGCAATTGTACTGACGACAAGGTTTGGCATGTGGCGTTGTATTAGAATATTAGTATCGTAAATTTATACTTGTTTATTTCTGATTGTGATACAAAATTAAACCCTCGTCCAAACCTTATATCTAAATCTTATAGAACAAGGATATGAATAATATTTTGCATTAGGGATTGACTCGTGTAATGTACAGCACAAGATTCTTATATAAAAATACATCTAGTATTTGTGGAATCACAGACGTTTACATCTAATTAGTATACTTTCTCTACCTTCCTTGTTTTATATGTTTTTGTGTTCAAATTGCTTATCTGATTGGAGTATTTGATGACCTGTGCATGGCCATAATGGACTTAATTATATTTTAAAACTTATTGCAGCTTTTTCATTCGAGAGTCAAAAAATATATTGATTATATGGATATAAATAGTGTATTTTAAATGCTCAAGTGTCCAGAAGAACAAAACGATTTCTTTGCAATGTATATTGGCAAGTGTTTAAAGTATCACTTTCCGCAAAAATTGTTATTTGCTATATTTAATTCAAGTGTAATTTCTAACACATCAGGGAAAAAAGTTTTCAAATTTGTCAAATTGTTCTCTATATTTATATCTGTTTAAATTTGGTCCTTTTAATAGACCTTGTCCGTCGTTCGGCAGAGCTGGAACGATATTTTTTTGTAACGTCATACAAGGAATTCCTCAATAAAATATATATTATTACCCGACGTCATATTGTGATGTCATACTTATGTGAATGGATGGTTGCTGACGCAGGTGAGCCAGGCTGAGTGCCTTGGAGTTCAGATTCATCGCTAAACCAGCTCCTTACGAACCTAACCACCACACGTCTGCACCTGATCACACCAATTAATTGGTGGAAAAGGCAAAAAAATAATGCTGTTTACTCTGCAAATTTACTTCGCTAATGATATGCACCTCACTGTATCTTATTATTTAATAGTGCATGCTAACTGCAGGGGGTCTTGTTACCAATTCTGCGTACCGTTCCTTGGCTAATAACCTTGGTTATTGCATGACCTCATTATATAACAACTATGGATGAAGACAGAATTTGGCTTGACCCATATCAGGTCATTAAAAAGCAACTTTCAACCGCCATACGTCAGACATTTCACCTAGTTAATAATGTAGCAAATAAAATTTTTGGTGATAGGGACATTGTAGAAAAGCAAAATGCTTTGTTTGAAATATTTTTTATGAATCAAAATGCTTTGTTTGCAATATTGTGCAAAATATCTAATTAAATATTAAGGCTACGTGTGGTAATGTAAAATGCAATGATGTTTGATGAATATTCATGTTGTAAAAGTTTTTTAATAGTTATCGTCCTGTTTATGTCTTGTACGTGTTTTAGTGCGTTTTAAACGTTGTAGTTAGTAAAATTGTAATGCAATCTTTAGAGGAACGGGCGCTCACGACTTGCAAACATGCACTACCTTTTTGGTTCCGCTACGTAGATGACACAATCACTGCACTACATGCCGCATTATGTGATTCACCGGCCGCTCTACACAATGAAAACAATTATCTCAAACGCGTTTTTGAGAAAAAACAACTATAACTCTGACTTTATCAAACGCAATACTTGTAAACCCAACAAACACAACGAAACGAACAACTCAGTTACAACAGCAACGATACCTTACATCAAAGGTACGTCTGAGATTATCTCGCGTATCTTACGACCATACAACATACGTGTCGCACATAAACCAATCACAACGTTACGACAAGTACTAACGAACATAAAAGACAAAGAACAACCCGACGAACGACAAGGTGCAGTTTACAAAATAAACTGCTCCGAATGCCACGCCTCCTATATCGGGGAAACTGACAGGAACTTAAACATTAAGACTTACTGAACACAAACGAGCTATTAAGAAACAAGACAAAACTAATCAAATTGCCGAACATCACCGAATCACAAAGCACAACATTGACGGGGACTAGCCAAAATGCATTATTTACAGTACTGACTATAGACAACGGCTTACATTAGAAAGTTGGTATACCAATTTGGAACAAACCCCCCAGAACAGATCACAGCAATTACCGGCACCTTAAAAACGACTTATTCACAATAAAAACAAACGATCAACTAAAAACATTAAACTTCACACTAATTCACAATTACAATACACAATTGACATCCAAACATTACAACTAAAAACATCACACCTAAATCAAACATCACAACTAAAAACATTTCACTACACACTAATTCACAAGAACATTAAACAATTGACACCCACACATTTCCTGTACACACAATACAATGACGTAAGAACCAGATAACAAATACGGCTAACCTGATGCTTACTCCTCATTTGACTCTGAAGATGACTACCGCTAAGGTTGTCGAAAAGTCAGTCAACAACAACAAAAACAGTCCTTTTCAGGACTATACCAACGTGGACGATCTACTTTTACCAACGTGTAAATTTAACCATTTAGGCAGGTCTAGGAGACGTGTGTATGTTATAGGATTAATATGTAGTTCTTGTGTCTTACGCAACAATTGATAAAGGAGTAATCGCTTGCAAGGATTTCGTGCAATGAAAATTCATTTTGCACTGGAATTTTCATAGCGGATGCATGAATATCGACATTTGGCTCAGTTATATACAACTCATTATCTAGCTGATACATACAATTGTAAAGTAGTAGCTTACGACTTCATTTAATTTTGCCATGGTCAGACACGTCAAAAACAGTATGTATTTCCAATGCAGTTTTCATAGGTGAAGCTCAATAATCCAAAATTTAACGCAAACAGACGCTTTACATTTCACATATAGCTTATATATAGTACATACGTACTATGATATGTATGTGTGCTTAGATTCATTGTTATATCGACCTTACGCCCAGTACAAGTTCATCCTAAACTTTCGATCAGAAAGCAAAGAAATGAGCAAGCTTAACAATTTAATGACAAAATTCGTTAAATTAACTTTAAGACACAAAGTTTAGGTTTCCCTCTCCAAAAATTCGCTCCGAGTCAATCGACAGAACGAAATTAAAAATTTTTAGGAAAACAACTGCGATATTCGATATTCGATAAAAATTAATCAAAATATAATAACCTAGCTCATTCATCAATAAACAGTTACGTATTTGAAGACGCACCTTGTACGTTGGCTGCGGACAAGCACCAGCAACAGCTGCAGTATTGGTGACACATTGACCGTTTGAGCGTCTGCCCTTTTTCAAATTTCTGCAAAAATTGTTTTTCTTTAAATTATTTACGACAGTGGAAGGACAACTAGAGTAAATGTTGTTACACAGCCTGGTAACGTCACCATAATCTCGACTGTAGTCCTTCTCAGAACATTTTGGTGTCAGTTGTGAGCATAAGGCTTCTTTCACAGCATTTGTACATCTAAATGAAATGCCAAGTAGACCATAGAGATTTACTGCATGTGAAACGATAGCATTTTGCTGTGCGTAAATTTTGGCGATGTATGGATTTAATTTCCAGTTCAATCTACAAGGACTTGCACTTTGAACGGACACACATCCTTCTCTTTTTGAAAATACGTAAAGCTTTCCATCGGGTGCTTTTCGTTTTACGATGTTGCACAAGAAGATATCAATAAGCAGCGACAGTAAAAGAAAAAACAAAATTGTTAATTTAAAAGAATGTGCCATTTTTTTCTTAAACAATTCGGAAAAGTTACTCGCATATGTTGAATTGCAGGAATCCTAAACAGAACTAACAATCCCATCCAAGCCAAAATCCTTTTTCTTGTTTACGCTCAATGGAAGTTTATATTTGAAAGAATGTCATGTTTACGTCACTTTACGTCATACTTCAGCGCTTAAAAAACAAGGGCTTCAGCGCTTACAAAAACAAGGGCTTCAGCGCTTACAAAAACAAGGGCTTCAGCGCTTGCATACATCCTTGTCATACAAGCGCTTCAGCGCTTGCAAAAATAAGGCTTCTTTTATTTTGTCTAAAATTCTTTTATTTTATCTAAATATCTACAATTTATCTAAAATGTTCCTTTTTGCACTTGCAAGTTTTGTCTTGACTAAGCATGTTTGTTAAGTTCTCGTACCGACTGTAAGTACTTCATAATTTAGACTTCCTTAGAAATGTTCTTTTCTTCATCTTGACTTCAAATATACACACACTTACATATATCTTAGTGAAAAGTATGCTGAAATACACAATGTTCAGACTCCTCTGTTAATATTTACATACACAAGTTTACATACACAAGCGTTCATACTCTCCACAGAATTATATTTGGCAAAACAATTGTTGCTGCTGGAAAGTGTAAAATCACTCATGTTTTTTCCACAAACCAGTACATTACAAATTACAGAAAAGACGAAATTGACAAGATTCTAATTTATTATACAAAATTCTACGACTTGTGTTATAGTCGCGAACAGATTATCAATAAAAGCACCTTAATCAATATTATAATTAGGACAAGCAGTTCATTTTAATTTAAATGTAGAATCACATGCAGTTTTGCTGAGCATACACTAAGTTTTCACTGTTGCAGTCGAAAAATATCAATTGGAATCGAGAGTAATCTTATTTTCTTTCCTTGGAATTACTAATACATTTAAAATGGACGACAAATTTCTTTATAGCAAACATATTTCGGCATACTTTTCACTAAGATATATTTAAGTGCGTGTATATTTGAAGTCAAGATAAAGAAAAGAACATTGCTAAGGGCCTGTTTATATGGAGCCGAGTTACCCGGCTGAGCGAGTTACTCGCTCAACCCGGGTTGACAAAGTGATCAGTTTATATGGCACCGGGTAACTCGGCTAGTACTTCCGTTCATTTGTCTTAAATGAAGTTTGGCGATGCTAACTTCGAGTAAAGGCGCGAGATTTAAAAAAGCCCCACAGTTTCGCAGCAAAAATGGAATGGGTGAATATAAAATTGAAAATTATGATATGTTTATGTTTTTGAATAATAATGCTGCAAGTACAAGGCTTAGTACGCATGCGTACCAAAAGAGCCAATTTTCTCGCCTCGCCGAGTTACCCGGCAAATGCGTTTATATGAAAAAAATTCATCCCGCCTGGCCGGGTAACTCGCTTACACAAACCGAGTTACCCGGCAAAGCGAGTTACTCAGATGTGTCATATAAACGATTCACCGGGAAATGCATACTTGTTATATCAGGGCCGAGTTACCCGGCTCGCTCAGCCGGGTAACTCGGCTCCATATAAACAGGCCCTACGGAAGTCTAAGGGCCTGTTTATATGGAGCCGAGTTACCCGGCTGAGCGAGCTACTCGCCTAGCCGGGTTTGACAAAGTGATCTGTTTATATGGCACCGGGTAACTCGGCTAGCACTTCCGTTTATTAATCTTAAATGAAGTTTTGCTATGCTAACTTCTAGTTAAGGCGGCGAGATTTTAAAAAGCCTCACAGTTTCACTGCAAAAATGGAATGGGTGAATATAAAATTGAAAATTATGACATGTGTATGTTTTTGTATTATAATACTGCAAGTACAAGGCTTAGTACGCATGCGTACCAACAGAGCCAATTTTCTCGCCTCGCCGAGTTACCCGGCAAATGCGTTTATATGGAAAAATTCATCCCGCCTAGCCGGGTAACTCGCTTACACAAACCGAGTTACCCGGCAAGGCGAGTTACTCGGATGTGTCATATAAACGATTCACCGGGAAATGCATTCATTTTATATAAGGGCCGAGTTACCTGGCTAGGCGAGTAACTCGCTCAGCCGGGTAACTCGGCTCCATATAAACAGGCCCTAAATTATGAAGTACTTACAGTCGGTACGGGAACTTAAAAAACATGCTTAGTCAAGACAAAACTTGCAAGTGCAAAAAGGAACATTTTAGATAAATTGTAGATATTTAGATAAAATAAAAGAATTTTAGACAAAATTAAAGAAGCCTTATTTTTGCAAGCGCTGAAGCGCTTGTATGACAAGAATGTATGCAAGCGCTGAAGCCCTTGTTTTTGTAGGCGCTGAAGCCCTTGTTTTTGTAAGCGCTGAAGTATGACGTAAAGTGACGTAAACATGACATTCTTTGAAATATCAGCTTCCATAGTAGACAAGAAAAAGGATTTTGGCTTGGTTGGGATTGTTTAGTTCTGTTTAGGATTCCTGCAATCAACATTTGCGAGTAACTTTTCCGAATTGTTTAAGAAAAAAATGGCACATTCTTTTAAAGTAATAATTTTGTTTTTCCTTTTACTGACGCTGCTTATTGATATCTTCTTGTGCAACATCGTAAAACGAAAAGCACCCGATGGAAAGCTTTACGTATTTTCAAAAAGAGAAGGATGTGTGTCCGTACAAAGTGCAAGTCCTTGTAGATTGAATTGGAAATTAAATCTATACATCGCCAAAATTTACCCACAGCAAAATGCTATCATTTCACAAGCAGTAAATCTCTATGGTCAACTTGGCATTTCACTTAAATGTACAAATGCTGTGAAAGAAGCCTTATGCTCACAACTGACACCAAAATGTTCTGAGAAGGACTACAGTCGAGATTATGGTGACGTTACCAGGCTGTGTAACAACATTTACTCTAGTTGTCCTTCTACTCTCGTAAATAATTTAAAGAAAAACAACTTTTGCAAGAATTTGAAAAAGGGCAGACGCTCAAACGGTCAATGTGTCGCCAATACTGCGGCTGTTGCTGGTGCTTGTCCGCAGCCAACGTACAAGGTGCGTCTTCAAATACGTAACTGTTTATTGATGAATGAGCTAGGTTATTATATTTTGATTAATTTTTATCGAATATCGAATATCGCAGTTGTTTTCCTAAAAATTTTTAATTTCGTTTTGTCGATTGTCTCGGAGCGAATTTTTTGTGAGGGAAACCTAAACTTTGTGTCTTAAAGTTAATTTAACGAATTTTGCCATTAAATTGTTAAGCTTGCTCATTTCTTTGCTTTCTGATCGAAAGTTTAGGATGAACTCGTACTGGGCGTAAGGTCGATATAACAATGAATCTAAGCACACATACATATCATAGTACGTATGTACTATATATAAGCTATATGTGAAATGTAAAGCGTCTGTTTGCGTTAAAATTTGGATTCTTGAGCTTCACCTATGAAAACTGCATTGGAAATACATACTGTTTTTGACGTGTCTGACCATGGCAAAATTAAATGAAGTCGTAAGCTACTACTTATACAATTGTATGTATCAGCTAGATAATGAGTTGTATATAACTGAGCCAAATGTCGATATTCAAGCATCCGCTATGAAAATTCCAATGCAAAATGAATTTTCATTGCACGAAATCCTTGCAAGCGATTACTCCTTTATCAATTGTTGCGTAAGACACAAGAACTACATATTAATCCTATAACATACACACGTCTCCTAGACCTGCCTAAATGGTTAAATTTACACGTTGGTAAAAGTAGATCGTCCACGTTGGTATAGTCCTGAAAAGGACTGTTTTTGTTGTTGTTGACTGACGTTTCGACAACCTTAGCGGTAGTCATCTTCAGAGTCAAATGAGGAGTAAACATCAGGTTAGCCGTATTTGTTATCTGGTTCTTACGTCATTGTATTGTGTGTACAGGAAATGTGTGGGTGTCAATTGTGTATTGTCATTTTGAATTAGTGTGAATTGAAATGTTTTTAGTTGTGATGTGTGATTTAGGTGTAATGTTTTTAGTTGTAATGTTTGGGTGTCAATTGTGTATTGTAATTGTGAATTAGTGTGAAGTGTAATGTTTTTAGTTGATCGTTTGCTTGTATTGTGAATAAGTCGTTTTTAAGGTGCCGGTAATTGCTGTGATCTGTTCTGGGGGGTTTGTTCCAAGTTGGTATACCAACTTTCTAATGTAAGCCGTTGTCTATAGTCAGTACTGTAAATAATGCATTTTGGCTAGTCCCGGTCAATGTTGTGATTTGTGATTCGGTGATGTTCGGCAATGTGATTAGTTTTGTCTTGTTTCTTAGTAGCTCGTTTGTGTTCAGTAAGTGTTATGTTTAAGTTCCTGTCCGTTTGCCCGAGATAGGAGGCGTGGCAGTCGGAGCAGATTATTTTGTAAACTGCACCTTGTCGTTCGTTGGGTTGTTCTTTGTCTTTTCTGTTCGTTAGTACTTGTCGTAACGTTGTGATTGGTTTATGTGCGACACGTATGTTGTTTGGTCGTAATATACGCGAGATAGTCTCAGACGTACCTTTGATGTAAGGTATCGTTGCTGTTGTCACTGAGTTGTTCGTTTCGTTGGGTTCCTTGGGTTTGTAAGTATTGTGTTTGATAAAGTCAGAGTTATAGTTGTTTTTGTCAAAAACGCGTTTGAGATAGTTGTTTTCATTGTATAGAGCGTCCGGTGAATCACATATGATTTGTGCACGTCTTGTTAATGTTCGGATTGAGGTGGCTTTTTGTGATGTAGGGTTGTAAGATGATTGGTCTAGTTGTCGGTCAGTATGTGTTGGCTTGCGATGAACTGTTGAACGTAGTTTTTGATTGTCATGTTTTACCAGACAGTCGAGAAAAGGAAGAGCTCCGTTTTCTTCGACATCTTTGGTAAATTGTATGTGGCTGTTCTGTTTGTTGATGTGAGTGTGAAAGTCATCAATCTCGTTGGCGTGTAGTGCAGTGATTGTGTCATCTACGTAGCGGAACCAAAAAGGTAGTGCATGTTAGTAAGTCGTGAGCGCCCGTTCCTCTATAGATGGCATTACCATTTCAGCAAATACAACGTTTAAAACGCACTAAAACACATACAAGACATAAACATGACGATAACTTTTAGAAAAATTTTACAACATTAATATTTATCAAACATCATTGCATTTTAAATTACCACACGTAGCCTCAATATTTAATTAGATATTTTGCACAATATTGCAAAACAAAGCATTTAGATTGATAAAAAATATTTCAAACAAAGCATTTTGCTTTGTTACAGTGCCCCTATCACCAAAAATTTGATTTGCTATATTACAAACTAGGTGAAATGTCAGACGTATGGCGGTTAAAAGTTGCTTTTTAATGACCTAGTATGGGTCAAGCCAAATTCTGTCTTCATCCATAGTTGTTATATAATGAGGTCATGCAATAATTAAGGTTATTAGCCAAGGAACAGTGGGCAGAAGTGGGCAGAATTGAGCACATGACCCCCTGTAGTTAGCATGCAGTATTAAATAATAAGTTACAGTGAGGTGCATATCATTAGCGAAGTACGTTTGCAGAGTAAACAGCATTATTTTTTTGCCTTTTCCACCAATTAATTGGTGTGATCAGGTGCAGACGTGTGGTGGTTAGGTAAGTAAGGAGCAGGTTTAAGGATAAATCTGAACTCCAAGGCACTTAGCCTGGCTCATCTGCGTCTGCAACCATCCACTACCGAAGTATGACATCATAATGTGACCTCGGGTATTAATATATATTGTATTGAGGAATTCCTTGCATGACGTTACAAAAAAATATCGTTCCAGACTTTCCGAACGACGGAAAAGGTCTATCAAAAGGAGAAAATTTAAACATATATAAATATAGACAAAAATTTGACAAACTTGAAAACTTTTATCCCTGATGTGTTAGAAATTACACTTGAATTAATTATAGCAAATAACAATTTTTGCGGAAAGGGATACTTTCAACACTTGCCAATATACATTGCAAAAAAAGCATTTTGTTTTTCTGGACACTTGAGCATTAAAAATACCTTATTTATATCCATATAATCGTTAGATTTTTTGACTCTCGAATGAAAAAGCTGTCAATAATTTTTAAAATACAGTTATTGTTGATTTCAGTGAACTTTTCAAATGGCGGTTGCCAAGTTACTTTCTAATGTTGCCAGTTACATTTCCAAATATGGAATATTCGATATGAACTTGTCAACTTGAGTTGACAAGTTGTGTACTTGGTTACTGAAGTTATGTACTTGAGTGCTGAGGTTGTGAACTAAAGTTGCGAAGTACTAGCAAACGCGAAAGGTCTTTGTACCCTGTAGACATTTGGCAATGAATCCGATCATGCAGTAAGCAAGGAAAAGCTCTAGCAATTCTAATCCGTTTGACGGGCCCATAAGAGTGTTATAATGCGATACGCCGTTTACATTATGTAATAAATTTACAGTAAATGTGGCACTAGAAGAGTATCGTTGGATTTTAAATGCAGGAGTACGCTGCATAGTGTGCCCTCGACGTCTGTTGCCACTCGTAACAACTACAGACGACCCATCAAAGAAATGCATACGGTTGCAATCAATCAATGAAATATTTGCTACGTAAGCTTCTAACTTCTCCATAACGTCCTTCCGTTCTGTCTCTCGAGGAATTTGACTTATTATCTTGTAAGAGTAAGCAAGATCTTTATTCAAAATTTTATTAATGGATGACCTGCTAGGTGTGTTTGCTGTAAGGCAAACTTTGTTATTTTCTAGGTGTTGCTGAGTCTCTTTTGCGTAAATAGATGGTTTATTAATTTTTAGATATTCAGTGTATGCAATAACGTCATCTGTACGCGTGGTTCGAACATCACGTTCGCTCTGACGAGGTGCAATAGAACCAGTGTCTACCCATAGATCTATTATATTTGATATAGTCTTATACGGTAGATTTAGTTGTATCGAAATGTTTGTCAAACGCTCGTTATTTAACCACATTTCAAGTATTTCATTTCTTACTTCTATTGGTAAAGCTTTTCCTTGCTTACTGAACGGATTCATTGCCAAATGTCTACAGGGTACAAAGACCTTTCGCATTTGCCAGTACTTCGCAACTTTAGTTCACAACTTCAGTACTCAAGTATACAACTTCAGTACTCAAGTACACAACTTCAGTACTCAAGTACACAACTTGTCAACTCAAGTTGACAAATTCATATCGAATATTCCATATTTGGAAATGTAACTGGCAACATTAGAAAGTAACTTGACAACCGCCATTTGAAAAGTTAACTGAAATGGACAATGAGCTCCGTATGGCCATGCACAAGCCATCAAATACTCAAATCAGATAAGCAATTTGAGCACAAAAACATATAAAACAAGAAAGGCAAAGAAAGTATACTAATTAGATGTAAATGTCTGTGATTCCACAAATACTAGATTTTTTTTATATAAGAATCTTGTGCTCTACATTAAACAAATCAATCCCTAATGCAAAATATTATTCATATCCTTGTTTCTATAAGATTTAGATATAGGGTTTGGACGAGGGATTAATTTTGTATCACAATCCGAAATAAACAAGTTTAAATTTACGATACTAATATTCTAATACAACGCAACATGCTAAACCTTGTCATCAGTACAATTGCACTGTTACAAAGCGTTCGTGTCATAGACATACTTTTTAGCTTCTAAAAACAATTCCAGAATAAATGAAACTTTACATTATCTTTGGATCCCCAGTTTTCATTTTCGTCATTAAAGCCCAAATTTAATTTGACAAAATTATAAGGCAAATACTTCTTTATCAGCCAATAAACTGTTGATATGATTGTCAAAAATTGCGGTGGTTAAATGTAGTTGATAAACCGTTGGAATTATACTGTTACTTTACATGTGGTCGCTCCACAGCTAGGGTGTACCAAAAAAACAAACTGAACAATTTGAAAAACGTCAATAAAGTCATCTGTGCACAAGATTTGCAAAAAGCCATAAAAATTTGGTGGAACAAACAGGTGGTTAGACTTCTAACGGCTTATATGTGACGGAAATGATGCAGCTGAAAAGCAATCTGAGCACATAAAGCTAAAATATGACAAATGCTTTTCAAGCTAACAAAATTTTGGAAAATTTCGCTGAAGCGTACACAAACGTTTAGCTTTTAAATTGCAAATTATGCTAAATTTTTCATGTTTAAGTGCCATATTGTTATAATCCTCATCAATTATGCGTGAATGTGAGCTTAAATTAATCCAAACACGAATAATTGATGAAATCATTAAAAATGACATTTACAAAGGAAAACGGAAAATAATTCGCAATTTGGGTGCCTAGCGTTCGTACACGTTATGGCCAAATTTCCCGAAAGTTTGTAAGCTTGGACAAAATGTGCCAGATTTTAACCGTATATGTTCCAAGTGCTTTCTAGCTTTGTCATTTTCGTGCGTAAGTGCTTCTCAGCAACTCAATTCTCACTCTAAAAATGGTTACTATTTGCATTTACTGTCAGGTGATCCATTGGAAGTCTTACTACTTTTTCCATCAAAGATTTTTCCATATCTTGCACGTTGACAACTTTAGCGAATTTTCCTATCTGTTTAGTTTTTTATGCACCCTGTAGGTCTCTAGTTAGCAAAGAATCAGTCATTTATATGCGCAATGGAATTGCTTTAGCATTGATTGAATAACTTTGTCACAAGCTATTGCATTGATTGATAAACTCACTCAATAGCACTTTTAACGTTAATAAGTTGACATTAAAAACTGGAAATTTGTTACACATAAATATTTTTTCGATTTTATTTCAGATGACACCGGAGTTCTTTGAAGACTACCAAAAGGCCTCCGTAAAAGTCCAAACAGCTATAACAAGTATTCGTAATGCCCGATACAGTGATGGAAGAAGGATTTTTTCAGATACTTGTGTTTCACAAATAACAGAAATTGAATGTGTGGCAATTTACTGTTCTGCCAATGAAACGGAGCTTTTAGTAAAATTTGACAAGGATGACTGCAATAAGTTAGTTCACACCTGGTAAGTTTAATTATTTATGTCAATGTATTGTTTATTTGTAGTTTATAAATTATAAGCATCAACTATCTCCTTCATGCTCATAAATTTTTTCCACCCCTATTTTAAAATTCATTAATCCTTGTTTCATGAAATGTTTTTTAGTTTTGATGAACCATTCAGAAAATTGTCGCAATCATCTAGCATTCGAAGAGTTTTGAATACTTTGAAAAATCAGCTTCGCTTCTCCTGCAACAAATACCCAGCATCTTCGTCCGAACTACGGCCTGAACCCCCAAGAATTGGTGAAAAGACACCAACTACAACTGGAAACACACCGAAACAACGTGAAAACCTTCCAACAGCAAATAGAAACAGAAAAAAAGTGGGTAAAAACACACCAAAGGGAAGTGGAAACACTGTGTACGGAAGCAATGGAATTCTTTCCCTCATCTTTTTTGCACTCTTGAATGAGCTTTTGATAGCTTGAACTTTAGGCGTGACAAAGTATTTAATTTAATTTGATGAATATGTACACTTTTTTATATAATCACTTTACATACACTATACAATACACTTTTTTATACAATCTACATTTCATCACAGAACATCTAGACAGATGGATACCTAACCAATGCGTAAGACTTACCTTCTGCGACTTCTCGTCTCCTCTTAATAACATGAACTAATTATCACTTTGTTTTTATTATTTATTACTTACATTAATATGTTGGTGTGTTTTAACAACAGGTTTTACCATTGAATTCCAGCATGGGCCATATAAAGCCTTATTTTATCTTTAAATATCGCATAATAATCGCAAAACTTAGACTCCCTAATTAAAATTCAATCAAAAATTGTTTGTTCAAATGCTTTCTTCTTTGTATTGCTAGTGCTAAAAAATTAAATTTGTTCAGATAATAAAACTTTAAACGGTAAACGGTTAATACTTCTGTTGTACCTTTCTCGGGTATTTAATAGTTAGAAAATAGAAAATTAACGATAGCTTAAAATGTCGACCTGACCCAGCAAAAACAGTGTTATTTTTCGATTCAGCACATCAAAATTGTCCAAAATCAGTTTACAAAACTGAGACACCAAATTTGCTGTAAACCAGTGTAAACTATCTGCTCATTTTCGTGATAAATAATATATAGAACAGAATTAAATACTAGTGTTTGTGTTGTTGTCAGCTTTTATAAGCCATTTACTTAAGAGGGTTTGTGTAGCACAAAAGGGTAAAATAGTCCATTGCAGTGTAAAATGCTAGTGCGACTGATAAAAAGATCACCTTTGACTGAAAACCGTGAAGGGGGTAAAAACGATGTAAGATGTCAAAAAAACGAAGAAGACGGAAACTAATTTAAAAGATTGAAGGTAGTGCCTTGAGTATCCATAAGTTACGTTTCAAGAAAGTTTTAAAATTTTAAACAGTTAAGGGGTTATACATTGTATACACAATATCATGCACCCAAATACTTCTTCAAAGCATGGCATTCACAAAAATCACCATCAGGGATATATTTTTTCTTAGAAAAAATGAATAACACTGGAGGCCCTATTGCCATTTGTTAATTCCAGCCAACGACAAGGAATATAATTTTGCAATGACTTACAGTTTATCAGATGATAAGTTTAATAAATTGAAATTATGATATATGTACTGATTAAGGTCTGTGGCAGTATGTATAATTTCATGTTATCTTTTAAAACATGTCGTACAAACATATGGGGGGCTCATTTAGCCACTGTTTTGTTTTTTATTATGTGGAAGATCAGAAAGTTAGAATTATTTCTTTAAAATTCCATATGTATGCAATACAACATATGTTTCTAACAAACGGTTGGAAAGGGAAGGGAAGTACCATATATATCTTTAATTTGTCATGAATAATCTGCTATAAGAACAATAACTATAGTATAACAATTGCTATCCAAGAATAAATTGAAAATGCAGAACAAGAATAAGAGTTACGGAGCCAACGGTGGAAGCAGCTTTTACAAATGAGGACGAAAACAAAAATTTTGCAGGTAAAGATAAAATGCAGGTTTTGTAAACGTTAATAAAATATGGTGGATTTGGCAAATCGGAAAACCCCCACATAATTACACAGAAAAATGTTAAGGAGTCAAAAAAAACTTAAACGAATAGGTTAACGTCGACTGTTGTTGGAAAACTACAATCATTTAGTCAACTGCTTAATCAACCGACAGCCCTATAACCCTGCACTTGCAAATCACACAAATTCAAGGAGTTGTATAACAATATTTAGTCTTACAAACTTTTGGTTTTGAATAAATTACTTAAGCACGAGGCAGACAAAGTCATCTCTTAATACAACAGCAGAAATATAGAACTTCGTGTCTATCCACATTCTGGCATATTTTTAGCTCCTAAGAAAAAGTTAATTTGGCTTTTACAGATTCCAGCTTAATTTTCTTAATTCGGCATTTGAAGATTCCAGCTTTTCCTATATTCTGAGTTTTATAGATTCCAACTTTCAATTTCTAGCCTGCGTGCAGACTTTAAACCCAAAAAATTTAAAGTCCGAATTGTTTTATTGATGGCCATCAAATCTTTCTCGATTCTATTTCTACAGCAAAGAAACGCAACCAGAAGAACTTTCACTTTTGTATGCAAAAATGTCACGTGTCACGTGTGCATTGTTTTACTAACCGGACTCCCAGAAAACTTGCGCATAAATACAATAACATGGTGCTTGTATTCAGCAGTATGATATGAACGCGTTTACAACATTTCAATCCTAAAGATTCTTGTAATAATATGTGTATATAAGACTGCTCTATTTCGCCCTTATAATCCGAGTGCGTTGCCTAGAATTGTCGGTATTCATATAAATGTGTAAGTATAATTTTCAGTGTTATACGATGTTATTGCACATGATTGTTTGTTTTAAAATAATTGCCAATGTAATAAAGATGTTTCATTTATTATTATTGTGTATAGCACACAATCCATATTACTTTCAGACCTTTTAGTAGCATGGTTCACTATAATAAAAGTAAGATCAGCGATAGTTGCTTTCTTGCTGGGGTGGTGCGTATTTTTTGCTCAATCTATTTTAAGTTTACGAATTATCAGGCTAACTACCCTAGCAATATACTATTGTCAACAATTGATAGCCGTGATGTTTTTGATAAACACTGGCATATGTATATATAGAGATGTATGCACTAGCAGATTTTCAATCTACAGATATGAAGTCATGGGCAATCGTGTATAATTAATACATTCTTAATCCAAGCGTTATATGTAAGTCAGTGATATTTTGAGAATATCTTGCTTCCCACATTAAAATCATGCATGTATACGACTGTTCAAAAACTAACTGCTACCATGCGATTTGAGTGAAACTTGTGTTAAGCAAATTAATTGCAAATATGATTCAAACATAAGTGAGTTTCAAGGTGTTACAATAGTGTTTGGTTCTATTGAAAAGAATGCTCTTCCATACTCTCCAGACTTTTTGAAACTTTGAGACATGTCAAGCAACGAAGAACTATTTTTCCTGTACCCATCGAGTGCATGAGATTTGTTATTGGAAAGAAAGGACCAGGGGCGGATCTAGGATTTTTCAAACATCAGTCATAAAACGTCGGAGGCACTACGCGCCGGGGAGGGGTCTGAGAAATTCTCCCCTAAGAAATTTTGAAGCATATCTTGTGTAGGGTAGAGTCAATGTTTTACCTTCATGTTGGTACTTTGTAGTAAAGGAAAGTGCTGCCCACCCCAGGCTTTGAGCTGGTTATTGCTGATGGTTTCCGATTACCAGCATGAAGATTTTAGACTACACACAGATCTCCTCACTGAGATTTATACAAACAAAGTCCCTTACCTTACACTGGTTGTAAACTCAATGAAAATATTAAAAGACTTAGTTTAGACACTCTGAACCTTTGACATAATCAAAGCATAGTTTATTCAATTACTCTAAAATTTCCACTTATATTGAACACACTCAGATTTATACACATTTATTTTCTGTATGATTGGACAATAATGTCAACAAAATGTTACTTACAGATTTGCAATATATGCTATAATATTGTGCTAACATGAGTCAACTTAACAGCAAACACTTACAAGTTTTCATGAACAAGGTCCTTTATGAGTTGAATAAAGGAATAGATTATGATTTATGGTTTGACTACCTTGAAAAAAGGGTAACACGGGAAGAATAAACTTCAATGGGGTTTTATTGTAGTAGAAATAGATGGTAACTCCTAAAAAATTACCAATTTCTACACTTAAATTGGGTGAGAAGAAGGGGAAGAAAGAATTAAGTCAACTAACTCACAAATTTATGTTCTAGCACCATTTGAATTGAGTTGTGTGACGTTTGAATCATAATGATTTATGGTCTACAAATTACTTTGTGTGTAAGTGTGTTAGATATAATTATAGTAATAGTTTATAATAAATAAAATGTCGAACAACCCATTAATGACAATCCAGGGAGATTCAGAATGTCAATAAAAAACGGGTATAGTTCATTTTGTTCTAGTTGTGCAGAAAAACACGAATGTCGCTGCTCACCGAGGAACGTACACGAAGTACTCACCTTTTCACAAAGGACATAGGGCCTCAGTGAACCAAACGTGTTAAGCTGACCTTGATGCGGAACACTTTGACTCTTTTGGGTGGGAAGCTAAGCGTCAAACGACCCCACTTGTTGACTGAAAGAACACTTCTTTGGTTAACGTAGATGGTCAGGAGAAAAAGATAGGGTTAGGAAACAAGCCAGATCGCTGGCCAACTTGTATAAATTCTGCACAACCATGATTGAACACAGTCACAACATGCCGAGCGTGCAGCATGCTGTAAATGGTTGATGGGTGTCACCTGTAAACATCTTTTAAACGGTGAAAGTAGTTGTAATCGTCGTCATTACGGAGAGAGGCGCCTTGGCTTCGTACGATTTGATGTAATTTCATGAATGGAAAATAGTCGACCCAACACTTGTATTAACAGAAGCATAGCAAGGATAGATATTTTCGTTAGGTGACTATTTTGGGAACTTGTGTTTTTGGAACATCTCGAAATAGATCGTTCTCTACGAAATCTTGACATTACTTTACTTCAGCAACGCTGGTAATATTTTTTTTGACCAAATCATAATTTTTTTTCATGACACGTGAATCAACGTATTGAAAAATTGATAACTCTGTTCCCACTGGGTGTTTTCGGTGAGCAGAGCTTAGCAGTATCCTCTAAGGTAAAATTGCGTGGATCTACGGATTGCTGCGTTCTCTTCATTAAGGGCCTCATTTAGTTTAGTTAGAAGCCTATGTTTGGCAGCTTTTATAACGTTGTTGGATTTGCACTCGTTTTTGTCCATGAAGTAATCTTCAAAAATCCCGATGCAGCAAATTTGCAAGGTTGCAGGGCACCTGAGTTTTCGACTGTTTAACGTGTTTTAGTCTAACTCGCTGTTTTTTTTTCAAAGTTCGGGTCTCCCGCTGACAATAGACTATAACTTCCTCTTCCATCCTGAATGTATAATAAAGCAACGCAATTTTTACAGGCTATATTTTAATAGCCCAAATATTTTTTCTTTCATGTATAGCGAATATAATTCTCTTTTTTAGTGAATAAGATTTTTTAATAGTCAACACTACAATTAAAAGCAGTGCTAATAACTAGAAGGTTTGAATTAATACTGTTTTTTTATGGTGATTGATCATTGATGTTCATGCATGTGCGCACTTTAATAGGTCCATGGTGACAATGCTGCATTTCTGTGCTTTTTATAGAGAATGGCTGGCCAAAAAAAACGAAACTGGAAGATATCCTCTTTTGTCTTCAAAAACTGCATGATTTACAGCACCATGTATTGTAATTCCATATCTGAGTTACAACATCAGCGCGCTCATTTTTTTTCATGTTTTCTAATTTACACATTTTGGGGAACAAAACGATATTTTCAATTCATGCAGTAAGAGTGCTATGTGGAATTACTATTATTCAAGCGTATTTGTATCGTCGGGATCTTATTCCAAACAACACTTGTATTTGTAAATCCGGCCTGCGTCCTAACTAACATTAACATGTATGATATCAGTGTTCACATACAGTTTACTGCTTTTTGGCGTAGACCCCTACTTAATTGAGTAAATGTCTTATTAATCATTTCTTTCGTATGAATTTCGACGTTAACAAAGCTAGTTTTTTGTTTTTTGCAAAACAGCCTCCAATTCTTCATTTTTCTATCAAAGTACGAGAAAAACAATATAATCATTTTCAATGTTCACGCCATCGAAATGTTCATTAATGAAACAAATCTCTAAATTTTTCATAGAATTTATCTCATCCATGATTTTATGCGTTGGGAAAAGCCACTTAGAAGAATAAGGAAATGCCAATATACATATCAATGATTAAAGTAAATGGTTTGAACCCAGAGTATCGTTACATGTTTGTAGATGGAGATCGTCCAGTTTAGTATAGTCCTGAGGAGGACTGTTTTTGTTGTTGTTGACTGACGTTTCGACAACCTTAGCGGTAGTCATCTTCAGAGTCAAATGAGTAGTAAAAGTTAGGTTAGCCGCATTTGTTATCTGGTTCTTACGTCATTATATCAATGACAGATAGGTTAAGCAGAGTATGTGCTGACCATTTTGCTGAAAATCATAAAAGAAGGGTTGGCAGTAAATGGCTTTTGGAAAGTAATGAAACTCCAACAATATTCAAAAATGATGTGGTATGTGCAATACGAATTATATGATAAATTGCTTTCAAGGTGTACTTTTAAACTTTATTATTTCCTTACAGACTGTAAAATAATGAAGATGATTGGGCTAAAGGTCTGTATGATGGTAATGTAGAAATGTCAATGAGCATTTCTGTTAATGAAGCATGCATTCAATCATCCATTTTAAATATAGAGTATATTCATTAAAAGTATAGAATGTATTCACTCTAGCTTTGAAAATATATCAGTTGGTTCCCTTGCAAGAAAGAGCAATGTTTTCGATTTTTCAAAATGTAATTTTCGAGATAAATTTTTGTATGTAGGCAAATATGTTGTTTTTTTATTGCAATAATCTTAAATGGTTGTTTAATAAATTGTTTTTTATCATAAAATCAGATTGAATTCGTGGATTTCTTTACCTTACACAAATTGTTTTTCAAAACTTTTATTTCATAATTGTATGATTCAGGGTGTCCCAAATTCATTATGTGATTCAAAACCAAAACTAAAAGTTCTTCAGTTCTTCTTATGTTTGCACTAACTTGGACGACAATATCTACAAACATGCATTATTAACCTTTGATTTCATGCAATAGATGAATGAAGTGTTGTTTTTTCTAGAAATAAGAATGCTGGAAAGCAAATGCCAGTAGGTTAACTCGACATTGCATGTTTTCCTAGAAAAAAATTATTTAATATCAACCCATCAAAATACAGGAATGTAAACGAGTGTTTTCAATCTGAATTGTGGAATGTCGAATATGATAGACAGCGTCAATCAGTTGAGTTGCTTCCAAAAGAATTCTTTGTGATTCATTTTCATCTTCTGCAAAAGTAACCATATGAAAAACAATACTAAATAATGACCTCATCGAAAATCTCAAAAGACACATTCACTAAGAACAAAAATACTTTTTTATAGATATACAATGAAAACAATTTCTTCCTTCATGAAAAGCATGGAAATGGATAAGGAAACCATGAAGATAATTTAACATTGGAAATATTACTCAGCCAGTGGTAAAATGAGACAATATATTGCAACAAACCTATATCCAAATGAGCTGAAAGTGCTATGTTACCCAAAGTCAAAGACCAAACATGTAAATCATGAATTGCTATTACACCATTAATCTTTCCAATTCCTTCCTTGATATCATTTAAGTCGATACCTTTTGGTGTTCCTGAGGATAAAAAGATTAACCTTCTAATCTAATGCAAACATCTAATGAATCAATGAGTGATTCCCTGTGATTACAGTAGGATTTTTTAAAAACCAAAATATGAGCAGTTTATACCTTCCATTAACACCAGTAAAGCATCCCTAAGAACTGTGATAGTTGTGAAAACAACAATGACAGAAAACAAAAATGTGCAAATTGGATCGGCAATTGACCAGTTCGGCTAAAAGATACATTTTAAAAATAAAGCATTAAATTAAAATGTGCAGATTTATTGCTCCATTATAAGAAGAGGAACTAAGAAAGTGGTTATTACTTTAAATTTGATTATTATGGCAGCGACAAGAACGCCTAAACTCTGCAATAAATCACCAATGACATGAACAAATGCGGCTTGAACATTCATGTTTTTCTCCTCCGCATGTTTTTTCACACTGGGGGTTGACGAGAGTTTCCTCTCGCCATGGGAATGTCCATGTGAACCTGTAGAGCTCGCTCCATGAGAATGATTATGACCCAATACTAGACCCATCCTAAAATAATTTATTGGTATCAAATTTTAAAACAAAATGTCATTTTTTCACTGTCTGCTAGCAAAGGTGTAACTTGGATCTCAAGAGTCAATATTGATGTGTTTGGACTTAATTTTCCCAGCAAAATGGCGCAAGTAGTCAATTATCCCTCATAAAACTGCTTACTTAAGCCACCCCCTTTAGAATTTACTTCACTGTTGTTGATGTGATACGTACAAAATGTTGACACCAATACCAACGCCAGCAATGATCAACATTATGTTAGCGTTGACCTTGTGATTACCATTGATGACTCTTTTGATTGCTTCATAAACAAGAACTCCCGTCAATACCCAAATAATCAACATAGACAAGAGTGCTCCCATGACTTCTACAAAACGAGAAATCCATTTTTATGAATAAATGAATATTCTCTCTTGATTTATGCATCCACAATCTAAATTTTTCAAACTCTAAATAGTAATTGACAAAAGAAAGCATCTTAAGAAATAGATATTTATTACCAGCTCTATGCCAGCCGTACGATAATTTAGACGTAGACGGTCGATTTGCTAACCAAATTGCTAATAATGAAATTAGAAAGCTTGCGAAGTCTGACAAGAGATGTGCAGCATCTGTCATAATAGCCAAGCTGTTGGCTATTGCACCTCCTGAAAAACAGAGATGAAGTTAAAAATTGTCATTTTTTGAAAGAGAAACTTAAGGTTTCTACATGCAATAAAAGTTGTCGGAATGTAGTGTCACACAAAAAAATTTAGTGAGCAATTACAAAATTTCAAGAACGGTATATTTCATTACAGCATTTCCATTTTCTATAGAGGTTTTAAAAATCTATAAACTTATTTTGAAAACTTATTTCTGAAATTCTCGTGGTCAATTATCTACAATGTTTGGAGGGAAAAACATTTTCCGTTGAGCAAGTCATAGGTCCAGGGGCCTGAGACCTAGTGTTATTAAAATTACTTCAAATTGTAGTTGAGAGTGTAACATTAGCGAAAAATTATTTGTCAAATATATTTAGAATCTTCTTCAGTGTTATTCTTTGACATGTTTTCATATAAAACGTCATTTTATCAGTAATAACTCTTACCAACAGATTCTGCAATAAAAAAAACGAAACACAATAAAGATGCAATAATCAGCTTTTGTCTTGCTCGCTTTTTTTTCAAAGATGCTGATTTGGACAAGTTACTTTTATGCCCGAATGTAGAGCAAGGTGCCTGAGAAGAGGGTGCTGAGGTATTTTTACTCCGCTCATCATTATATTCCTGTGTCTCCTGGATGCTAAGAGTTCTCAATGTAAGGTCATTTGAAGGAATATTTGACGCACTGTCGGTTACAAGAGGAGTTTTTTCATCATTTCTTTCAATTGTTACCGACATTTTTTGCTAGAGAATTGAAAGGCGATATATTTTAAAGTTCATTAAAACGTGATCAATATAAAATTGTAAAAATAACATATCGTTACAAAAAATAATAAGCCCTTAATAACCAAACGTGAGGTCTTTACAGAGAAAAAACAGACCGAGGTGTTTTTGTAAAGACCGAGCTCGTAGGGCGAGGTCCGATAATTCTTTGTCCGATAGACAGAGGTCCGTTAATTATCTGGAAAGACCGAGAAAGCGAGGTTATTAAAAGGTTTATTACATGACGTTATTTGACCTCAAAAAAAAGTTGGCTTTCTTTCTCGTCCTTGCTGTTTTTTACCGGTTAGCTTTCACTTTTCTAGTTTTCGTCCATAAAAAATAAATCGTTTCAAATTGTATCATCTGAATAGTTAAATTGTTTTCCATGTGTTTTTCTTTCGAATGTCGTTCTTAAATGGTTTTTTGTTTCGTTTATTTTACGTTTTGCTGTTTTCATTACGAAGTTAGTTTACATTTGACTGTAAAATTACGCGTTTTGGACCGTGGTCGATCATGGGAAAATAATGGACCGGAAAAAATGTTTCCGAGCCAATCAAAGCGCGCCATTTTGCCGAAAGTGACGCCTGCCATGTAATAAATAAATTTTAATAAATGTTTATAAATTCAAAATACTAGCATATTTCAAAAGATGGGATTTTTTGTTCACAATGCCTAATAGTAGCTGTGAGTAAAGTAACTGTAAACATAACAGCATTTTGTAATGCTTTAGTTCACGCAGTGTCATTCGTGCTTAATTGCATTTATGAATTTGAAGGAAATCACGTTTGAAGCGTGACGTTTGCAATATTCAAACATATTGTTTCGACCATAAAAACGTGAATATTTTGCCCTTGTAAATAGAAATATTGCTTACGTAAAATGTCACATTTATAATTAGAAACAGCACGTTGTTCATAGTTTTAGCGTCAAGTTTCATGTTTTCATTGTCATTGTGAGTGTAAAGTCATCCGAGATTCAGAAACAAACTTTTGATTTAATAAATCATGGAAGAGTTTTCATAGAGTATCTGTAGAGAAATTAATACACCAGATGCAGCAGAAGCTAAAATATGCGTAAGCAAATTATTGAAAACATTTTATTCGAAAGTGGAAATCGACTTACTGTTACATTCTAATGACATTTACCTTTCTTAGCAAACACTTTCTGAGAACAATTAGAAATATTTGAAATTGGTATTATGAATGTTTTGAAATCATTTCTTCACCAGCTTTTGGCAATGGAGACATGAACCTAGCTCATCAAGACCTTGAGTTAATAGGAATATTAAAAGTGGATAGGCCATCTATTTCTCACTCCGAATTGATTGAAGTATAGTTTCACTTTCACGGCCTGCATAGACGACTACAAAATGGCAACATAAGTGTGTGTGCTATTTCAAAAGTTTTACGTTTTGGTATAGCTTGCAAAAGAATCAACAATATTCTCCAAAAAAGCTGTAAAAGTTTGAATTTGCTCGACTGACACCAGATAATATATTAATTTTCTATATTCTATATTCACAATTATTTATTGAATATGTTAGCTCCAAGTATCCACGGAATATAAAGTTTTTGATGAAGTGGGAGTGAAGTCCCTTATATTGAACGAAAAGCTTATGCTCAAAGTCCTCAAGGAATGCAAACATGCAATGAGTTGAAATCGTTAGAAAATGTGAAAGTCCCATCATCACACTTAAGCTTTTTCATCCCTGCATGTGCAGAGAAGGCTTAAATCCCGTAGAGTTCTGTCTCAATAAGATAAAGGATCAATCGAATGGATAACTGCTACCTTTAGTTCACTCAAATATCAAACTCGAAAAAAATCTTATAGTCTCAGAGCAAAAATGCTGCTTTTTGATCTGTTGTTTCATAGTATGGCTGAGGCTTAATTATCACCTTTATTAACTGAATGCATTTGAACTCTTATTTTGGAATGTAGACATTGACCACTGACTGAGTGTAAAAGTGCATAAAGAAAATGTTGATTACAACAAGGCGCTTGCCATAGACTTGTCTTTTATAACATAGCCATTTGCTCTTTTTCTTCGTTACAATAGCAAGGAGGTGTGTAGAGTATGGATAAAACATAATTTACTTTTTTGCAAGCCGTTTGAAGGGGAAATCGTACACTATATTGTTCTAGTTGAGTTTTAAACAAAATTTCACGTTTATTTGTTGCCCTGTGATATTCCACAGTTAGGTTTGTGTCGTTTTCTGACGATGCTCGTGTAAGAACGTTATTGTATATGTCTTGTCTCGCCCAAATTTTTAAACCAAATATGTGTGTTTTGTCAACAACTTTAAGTTTTCAATTGAAACCGTTGACAAACTAATCCTTCTACTTGCAGATAGCAAATCGCTTTTAATCAATGAGAAATGTTTTCCTTCTTTGTGGCAATAGCTGCTGTTTTGTTTACAAACTTGCTTTGAAGTTTTGCCAGATTCTCCTCATGTTTTTTGATACTCCTTGTCAGTTCTTTCAAATTAGGCTCTCCACTATAAACTTCTCTTCCCCGCATTTGAATACTGAAGAGAATTTCTCAATAGTACATGACCTTGATGTATATCTCATACGCATGTGACAGTTTCGACAAATGTTCTCTTTTAATGTACTAGATTTTACCATGTCGATTCTGCTTTTAATATCGTTTGCATTCAGCTTCAATTTAGCTACTTATAATTCCCGACTTAGATTTCATTTTCAGTTCCGTATTTTCAACCGATAACATTCGAGACGCAATTTACAGGATAAGTTTACTTACAGTTTTATCATTTTTATTTTTATCATCAGTAGAGTCATCTTGATCGCAAATAACTTTGCTATGAATATCGGAAGAATTGTCTTTAGATACAGAAGAGACATTTGGAAGACTGATTTCAAGCAGTAAGGGTTTCATACTTTGCACACTGAACCTCAATTTATCTCATCGTAATGATTGAGGACTTCCTTCTGTTTACTAATTTTCAACATCTCACTTCCTTTGATATTTAGAGATGGTTCTTCGAATAAGCCAAGTTTCAAACGTTTAATGTTCATGCCATGAATAAGTTTTGTAGACACAAAAGCATTTCTAGAATAAAGGGGGTCATGACTGTTTACGATCACAAACTCTGGTTGGTCTTTTTCTTACGCGAGGCCAATTCCCGTCCATACTCTTCCACACGTGTTTTTTTTTCTCTATTTTGGTCTTGCATCCACACGTAAACGTCGTTTATGAAAACGCCGTTTTTGTGTTTAAATGTTGACCATTGAGTTGTGTAATAACTGGAGCGGCTGAGTTAACTATATAGGGTGATGACGCCACTAAAATGAAAGGAAACGGACCTAATTCCGCCAGTAAACCCTATATTTATGTCTGGAATGATGACAACAAGTCATTTGATAGATTTGAAATTGAATCCTAAGTCCTTGTCCCTCGCGCAGTTTGTACGTCAGTTCCTTTGCTTTAAAATTAAATATTCACGTGGTTTGTACGTCAGTTTCATTCCCCATGAATGCTAAACTACACTGCCATAATAAATTTGAATGTAAATTTATAAAGAAGTAAACAACGGCACTACATAAAACACACAATGGCTAGCTCGTTGCAAAAGATTAAATTTTACAGATTTTTTACAGCTGAAACTTTAGTGCATTGAGCTCATTGTAAATTAAAATGCATAAACAGCTTTCGAGAGTCTTTTTTATATTTCACTGGATTAAGATTTTTTTGAAGTTCAAGCAAACGCGTGAAAGAAGAAACTTGAATGCTGTTTCATACAAAGTAATAGTAATATTAAGTCTAACTCGCATTTTTACATTTTGAAGAATAAAAAGATTTTTCATATTGATTTATTTTGATAATATATATAGTTGTCATTTGATATAAAAGATTCAATTTTGCTTTTAAATTTTTATGGTAATTGCAAAGCTCAATTGCCAATTTTTGTCGATCATTTTATTTCTTCCACGAAGTAAAAAAATTTCTAATGTTATATAGCAGTAGCGATTTTAAGGGCCCATTCACACTAACGCTTTAAATCGATTCGAAATCGATTCGAGTCCGTATGAGGGCTAATGTGAAAACTTGCAAGTGATGAGAAAACGAATTCTATCCGATCTTCATGAGGGGTATCGGTCCCACTTTACTATACTTTTGTATTACAAAATCACAGTTTTCACGTTTTTATTCCTTTTACAAACTTCTAATTAAGGCAAAATTTTTATGACATGACATGTAGAGGAAAACCGGTCGAGAGTTTCAACCCTGAAGCTCTGTTTTTTGGCTTTGTAACGACTGAAAAATAAGATGGCAAGTTGTATTGAAATTTGAAAGTTGAGGGTAACGAGGACAATTTTTGCCATGCGAGGCATTTTTAGAAGATAAAAACTTAAATTACAAATATACAACAAAGTAAGAACAAAGGTATTCATGTCTTTAACATATTCATCGATATTGAAGTTGTTAACATAGGAACTGGTTGAAAACTTTGCTTCGCTTAATAACAGCAGAGGTACTTTAACTCGCATATTTTGATGATGTACATCTCGTAGAGTTTGACGATACCGTTTTCAACTTACTATTCTTTATCAAAATGTCTTTCTGACTATTTTTCAATGCCGATTTGTTTTGTTTCTTCACTGATATAATAAAGACGTAATTTTAAAGTATTATGATATTAGCGATGTTAATAACAAAGTGTTGTTAAATAAGTAAATTTGTAGCAATCTTCCATAAACGTCATGGCAGATGAAATTTTGGTAACAGCAGTATGATTCTGTAATATTTCTACATTTTTTAAGAAGCAGCAGCATCATATAATCTCCAGTTTGTTTCAAAACAATGCAGGTCGACCTTGCACAATTTTAATTTTCCGCCATTATAAAGCCAAGAAGACAAACTTTTCACAAAAATTTTGCTCCAATCAAACGTTTGTAGAACGAATAAAAACGCATAAACTGTGATTTTGTAATACAAAAGTAGTGTAAAGTGGGAAGTATACCCCCCCCCCCGTCAAAGGTCATAATCAGATGAGCCAACTTCTGGCTTCAATTCTCTTACTGTACATATCAGTGGTGATGACGCATGATGGCGGCAAAGATTAAGAATATGTCGGCAAACGCGTGTTTAGAGGTCACATGACGTGTATTGCCCGCGTTACGGGAGACTTGTTCGTAAACATGTAATAAACATGTTTTTAGCTACAGAAGTCTTTTTATCATTTTGTTCAAAGAAAGAATAATCGTGGAAAGTATAGTAACATCGAAGCTGATGATCTTTATTTAGTCAATTATGAAGCGTCCTATTGAATACGTAGCTATGTTAAAATGGAAAATATCAACTCTCAAACCTGTTAAAAAACAATGACATTGCTCAATTTGCAAACATCTGAAACAGTCAACTGGATGTAATCAATAATTTACATGTGTTACTCCTTGAAATAATTTTAGGGATTAATAATATTAGAGATTTTTTGCAAAATCTACTGAAAGAATTCATTAGTTTTTGCAACAAATGATGTCCAAAATAATGTTGCATGTAGCTATGTATGTTTTTAACAAAGATAAATTCACTGGAACTAGAAGTTATGAAATGCAAAAATTTATTGGTTATTTATGAAATGAAACGCTTTGAGATGATATCCTTCACTTGGGCATCATAATCTAACATGAGGCGGGTATTATCTAATTTATCTTTTGATATTTGTACCCCCACGGAAGCGCACCAATAATAATTCTTTTGAGTAGAAATACATATCCAAAAGTGAAGTTGGTGGTTTAAAATTGTATTTGCTTTTATGTTATTTGAAGTTCGTAAGTATCTTGCGCATAATACAGTGATTGTTTTGGAACGAAAATGATTTAGTCTGTGGCACATACGAAAACAAAAAGAACTATAAGCAAAATGTCTACTGGTGATGAAAAGTTTTGTTTTCAAATTAATACAAAAAGGGATTTACGTATTGATTTTAAAGTCGGAGTTTCGTCGTTCGTACAGGTAATTTTTTGCTTTTTTATTGGCCGTGCATGTGTTTACATTACTTGGAATGACTGGGCATTATTGGCATCAAATTTCAACTGAATTAGCTTCCATCTATTTTAGCTCAATGTTCTTACTTCAGTTTTTGGCTTTAATTAGTATTTCACATCACTGATCTCAAAATAAGACTGGATAAAGCAATTCAATATTCACAATAAACAAATTTTGAAGCCATTGCCGCCGTTACTAACTAACCAGCAAATCGAAAGATCAATTCAACTGAACAAACAAAACTAATATGCTTAAAATAATGTAGAAAGATCAAAAACAATCTTTGTGTTTTTTGTAAAGATTAAAACCCAGTAATGAATGTAATTTGAATTTAAAATTAAGAGCTATAATTATGTTGTCCTACACTGGATCCGCCACATCTAGGACTTGTACATGCATGCATGCCGCTTTTTATAAATAAATCGGATCGATGGAAAGTAGCTGCTTGACTTAATATGTATGATTTTCTGTAATTGATTTTGTGAACTGAAGCTGCATGTTGTGACCCATTTTGATTTTGTTGTATTGCTATATGAAATGAAAAAAAAATGCAAAATAATCATTAAAACACTTGATTACAATTTTGTTTATAATTAAAGGCTGTGAATACAAAATTATGTTTTAAATTTTTCACCTTTTTTTCTCTATTTTATGTCTTTTCTACGGGCAATTTAAGTGCGCATGCAACATATACAGTATGCAATGTAATGTAACATGTAATGTAACATGTAATGTAACATGTAATTTAACATATGCAATGTAAATGCAGTATGCAACACATGCAGCGTTTCTCGGGACACAAGACGCACCAATTTTTCACTTTAGTACAGTAAATAAGTATGATGGATACGGTTCAAAAAGTAATTACTGCATTTAGTTGACTAAATTTTATAATTTGTGTTAAAAAAACACTGCGTATATATGTTTTATAGCAATAAATTGTGAATCGTAGTTATTTTTTCTGGAGCTTGCGGTCGTCAGCTGGCAGTGATAGATTGTTAGTTGAGTAATTTACACATTTTTTGACGTTTTCGTTGATAAAATTTGACAATGAAATGTTTTAGTATAAATAATACATTCATAAACATTTTGTATATGAATACTTAATTACAGCGATAATACAGGTCTCTCATAATTAAGAAGGTGGTATGACTAGCCTAATTTTAGACTATTTTCATTATATTCTCTTTTAACTTAGATCAAGGGTCAAAAAGAGTGAACAGTATAGAGAAAGAGTGCAATGCACAACATGTAAAAAGGAAATAAATAGTGACCTCTTGGGAAAATGCATCCTCCAATCAAATTTGAAAAGCAATCTAACCATTCTAAATTTTTTAATGTAAGCTGTATATCTTTTCCATGCACTTATGTTTAAAAGATGAGATCGTAGGGTTGTAGCAAATAGTTGTATAAATAGTATAAATCTGTCCACATTTTGAATTATACAGACTATTGCACAAATAATATCCTTGTTTTAACTCATAATTCAAATTCAGAAGGCTCAAAAATTTCTTAATAAACTTATATGACATTTTTTAATGAGGTAAATGTAAAATTTATTCTTCACTAGTGTAACACTAAGACTGAAGGAGTCAACATTAACACTAAAGTTAATTCTGAACAAAATGTTCAAAGCGATTCAGCCAAAAGCATTGAGTCGGGTTCTGAATATAGGCAAGATGTTATCTTTTCTGAAAGCGAAGGATATTCTTTTCCACCAATTGATACTAGCGAAATCAATTAAACACTTTTTGTTGATGGTAATTCTGGTGATGGTGATGGTGATGATCGTAATGATGAAGATAAAGAAAGCTGTTTTTACGTTAAATCTGAGATTTAGAAAAGTGACACATTTGGCATTAAGATTAGAGAATTGCGAGGAGAGAATGCCACCTAACACAAGTCCACCTTAAGAAGATGATAATGCTGATGCTGATGTTATTCCAGATAGTAAGGAAACCTATATGACTCATTATCGAGAACAATGAAAATCTCTCAGAAAACTTAGTGTGATAATGTTATTTGACATGCTGTTCATTCAGCGCTGGTGTACACGTAAAATGTCCTGTGCAATTTACTAGAGGTTGTCTCTAAGGTGGAGGGAAGAGTGTTATATAAACATAGAGCTCCTGTAACCGTGGCCAAAAATTTAAGATGAGAGAATTATTAGCAGAATAAAAATTTTCAAAAGTTTTCAAGTCCATCATTTCTGATGATCAACTTGATGATCCCACATATAGTACAATAAAAAAGAAGTATTGAATAATATTGGGTGTTTAAATCATATTTTTAATTTGCATATCTTTCAATCAAAATTCAGGACACCATTTTTCCGATAAATATCATACAAGCTTTTAAAATTTGTTGGCTGATCTAAAGGTACGGCCATTTTGTTGGGCAAAGTAGTCCGCCACCCCCCAAAATTAATACCCATGCAAGTTTTGGCCCTGATACCATCGTTATGGGTAAATTTGATATCTTGCAGTTGCACGAAAAAATGATGCGCATCTGCTTGTAAATGTCATAAAACAACAACTTTGCACTCCTCCATCTTCTATCACAAGGACGTAAGAACCCTTATAGCTTAAAGTAAATGTAAGTATGTACAATATATGTAAAATATTACCAATTATATGCTTCCAATATAGGTATTTTGTCGAAAAACGGGGAAACGTGGAAACGTTTGTCGAACGTTTACGTACTTTTTTCAAAAGGTGCGCATTTAATGCCTAAAACATGCAGTAAACGAAAAGACTTGCCATCGAACTTGAATTTTGTACGCTTAGTCAGTCCTTTACGGTGATATGTTAAATTGTTTTAAAACTCTTGTACGTATACAGGCGTACTCCATAATTTTAAGGAAAAGCTCCACATGATCATCCATACAAACGAATCGATTTTGCCTATTCCTTGTCTTGTCTTATTAATTTAACGTTTGTAAACTCACTCATGATCAAACAAGGCGTCCAATGATACAAATGACATAAGAGACGATTTTATAAAATAGCGTAATATCACACAATCGCCGATATTTGACAAAACCAAAGCTCAATCGATGTCTTGCAGACGCTAATGTTTTTAGAAACGCAGGGAAAATCTTCGTATTTTTGAAAATCTGGAGGATACGCGTGGGAATAAAACTCTTTCTCAAGTTTTTTCGCCAACTTATTGTATGCGTTCGAACGACATACATGATGTATTTATTTACAATTAGCAATGCTAATAAAAGCAAAGTTGTGAAACGATGCAGTATGAAGTGTGAACAACGCACTGTTTCTAATTATAAAAGTGACATTTTACGTAAGCCATATTTCTGTTTACAATGGCAAACATTGACGTTTCATTTGTCTGAAATTTGAGTATTGCAAAAGGTCACGTTTCAAACGTAAGCAAACGCGAATCTTTCTGCAAGTTTCAAGCTTCAACGTAAATGGCAGCAAAGACGCGCGGGACACTGGAATCGATAGATATAGCGCTCAATTTGAATGCAGCGAAATTTGATTTCATTGGTTTCATTTTAATGAACAGTCAACATAACAGGATAACCTGTTTAATACTTCAGGTTATATACCCAGCCTCAATCGAAGATGCAGCAACGAATATTAAAACTCAGAGTATACAGAAAGATTATAAATATTATGATAAGTAAAAGGTTATCCTATGACGCACAACATACAACTATTTGAACAAATTAATCTCTTAAAAGAAATGAAAATCTAGTTGAAACTAATCATACAAGCACAATATACGTACCACTACCACGTCGTCAAGTTCTTTCCAACTCAAGAAACAGCCAAGATGTCCTACTGAGTAAAGCAACGCTTGGTAATATATTATGTAAATTATGTAAGGTTGGCCCGTTACACGGAAATACACGGAAAAGATTTGGTGGAAAAGGTCGGCGGACTGAGAGTAAAATTTTTTCAAATAATACCCATTTTATAAGTGGGGATTGCTAAGAAGCACTATTGAAATAGATTGCTTACAAAAATGACAGAGCAAAATAGCAATTGGAACACATAGGGTTAGAATATGGTGCATGTTGTCAAAGGTAACAAAGTTTCGGGAAATTTCGACGAAATACACACGAACGCTTGACATCCAAATCTCTGATGATTTTGAATTTTTCCCTTTGTAATTGCCATTTTTCAGATTAAAGTTTTATCAAACCAAACCCAAGAATTGAAAGCTAACCAATCGCGTACATATTAGCCAAATTTACTAAAACTTTGTTAGCTTGCTCAGCTTATGCCATAATTTAACCCTGTGTGTTCCATTGCTTTTAATTGTGTCATTTTGTGCACGAGCTATTTCAAAAGTGCTTTTCGGTAACACAATTTTTACCTTAAAATGTTTCTTATTTGCGGCAATTTTACTATCAGATGAAATCAGATGAATCATTTTGGAAATCTAACGAATTATTACGGCCAAAATTTTTCCCAAATTTTGCATGCTAATGATTTATAAGACGTTGTCCTATTTATTCAGTCTTTGTTGATACACCATTTATAGCAAACCAGCAAACACATCATATATATGATATACAACAATGTACATTTCTTGTCCAGTATCCAGCTGCAAGATTATAGGTACATATTAATTTTTCTCAAATTTTATGTACGACTACGACGAAAGTAGGAGTCATTCCGTGGAACCAATGAAAGCCTTTTTTTAGTAATCTCCAATAAACCTATACTTAATGCAAAAGGGATGACGGGTGTCTAAACTTGTGTTGAGAGAATGTGTTTGTATATGGGTGAGAAAACTTTACTTATACTGCCATTCGCGTTCAACGTTGAAGCTTGTAGAAATAACTGCGTTTGCTTACGTTTGATAACGTGAAATTTACAATATTCAAACGTAATGTTTTGACTAATGAAATGTCAATGTTTGCCCATGTAAACAGAAATAGTGCTTATGTAAAATGTCACATTTATCATCGAAACAGTGCGTTGTTCACACTTCATGCTTCGTAGTTTCATAACTTTCCTTTCATTAACATTGTTAAATTGTAAACAAATTGGGATAAAACATGGGCACGGATGGCACGGTACGGATACCGGTAAGGGGATGGAACACGGATATGCTTGAAATTTCTATTCAAGTGGCGATGTTTAACAAAAATATGCACACGTGAATTTTCTGTTGGAGTCAACTTTATCTGCTGTCACCACTAAAATATATCCCTTGCGCTTTGAAAATTCACGAATTGAGTTTGTTCTACATTTCCATGTATTGGATTTAAAGTATAGTTTATTGTTTGAATCATGCATAGTTCTATACTTACCAACCGTCTGTCAACCAAGTACTCACCCTCCAATAGCAATTCTTACACAACTTGATATTTTGTTAACTTGACACTCACAAGATATTATCAGATTGGAGAGCGTTGCCTTTTGTAGAAATTCCACATTGCATTTGAAAATGACATACTTATATTTACAAGGGAACAGCAACTTTCCAACAGTAAGAAATTGTAAGTTATACTTTACGATGTACCCAGTTGGTCAAATCCTACAATTATAACGTTCAACTGCAAGGTTGAATCAGATGTCACTGTTAAAATTAAGATATTCGATCAAGTTATAGTTATTTTTTCATTATATTTATAAAAATAAGACATATGATTCAATTATACATCAGTTGCACCCAAAGAAATCTTGAATGGTTGATATTTGTTATGATTGTCTATGTAAGCACACAAGAGCCGAACACGGGATACTAACAGTATGCGCGTTGTCTGTTGTCAACCACCGAAATATCTCTTAAGCGTTGTGTAAATCAATGTGCATGTATTTTTTCTATTTATCCAAATACCTATATTGCACCTTAAGTATTTCTTAAAAGAAACATATAGTTAGCAATACGGCAATTTCACGCTTCTTAACTATTCAAGATTTACTTGGATACAACACTTTTAATGGTAATGAACACTTAGTTGTTAGGTAAAAGCGACTTTACGATTGCGAGTAAGTGTAAGTTACATAGAGAAGTGTATCTAACTATCGTGGGTAGAATCTTGCAGGTTCAAAAAACTCTGTTTTGGATGTAGAACCTACAAAAGTTAATGCAGAAATCTCAAGAAGCCTTTATTTCTTTGTTTGCACACTTGAATGCCCTCTTTGGAGTCAACGTTCTTTTAAATAACAATCGTCGGCCATTGCCGCTGGCAAAATTCGTTCGTTGAGATGGCCAAGTTCATTTAATCGCTGCGCAAAAAAAGCTATTTTTTCGACGATTGACGATTCGACGATTATATGGAAACTGAGCTTAATGGAAACCGGGAGTCGGACGATTCGACGATTAAACAACACGCAATAAAAATTATTCATACTATGAATTTATACTAAAATAAAACCAAAACAAGCATTGCTTTCTAATTCTTCTAACAAAAGGCATCAATTGGGTGTAGATAAAAAGCGGGCGCGGATGGCGGACGCGGATGGCGAACGAATATACATAAAAAGCGTGCGCGGATGGAAGACGCGGAACGGCGGACGCAGATGTAATATGAACGTCAGTTTGTACAGACGTCTGTTTGTTGTGGTCGGGAATTGCTAATGATTTATTGTAGGAGTTTGACAGTAATTTAAACGAGCTTTATCTTTCAGGATATATTTTTTGACCTCATTATTTAAAGCAATTAAACATGCATATTTCAATTTTCATTCAGTCATATAGAGTGTAACACAATGAAACCTCATAGTCAGATATAAACCATCTCAACACTTTTAATATGAAAAATTTAGCCATAGTTGCCTTTTCAAACTTCACAAAAGCCTTGCATTCCTAGTTTTGTATTTTTTTCGTGTTTTGTCAATGGCATTTCACTCATTTTGGCCTTACGTGGGTGGGCCTGTTCATATTTACTGATAATGATTTCCGTCAACTTGTTATTTGGCAAAGCATTACGTACATTGCAGTTTTCAACTTGAACTTCCTTTTAAAAGCTGAGGTTAGAAGCAGTTGCAAGTTAGTTAGTGCGTCAGTTACAGCTTGAAAGTATATTTTAATCACATCGATTGTACATCATGTCCAAACGTTTGTACTCGGACATTGTAAAAATTGGTTATGAATCCACTTATTCCAGCGAAGATGAAAATGGATGTCGTGTACAGGTACCTAAATTTAATATAGGAGCACTGATATTTAGTAAGAAAATATATTAAAAGATTTTTATTTGTATTTTTTTATTTTATGTGACTTTGTAGAAGAAACCTTGCAAAAGCAATGTGTCAGACAAACAAAGTCCATGTATAATGCAAGATTTGAGCATTTCCAGCCAAAGCGATGTATGCTCAATGAGAGCATTTAATAGACTAATTCATTTACTTTTGAAAAAAATATTTCGAAATTTTATTAGGCTGAGTAATAAAAGGAATTAGTAATAATAACACATTATACTAGGACAGCAACAATGCTACCACCGATGAAGACAAAAGCAGCTAAAGTCAAGCAATCTTTCTTGCAGCCGTAGAAAAAGTCTTCGCTACCTTAAAAAGGTCCTTGAAGCGATTTCGTTTATTTTCATATAAACGTTACTTCTGTCATAATACTATACAATCTTCAAGGTGGTCTATTAGCCGGTTTAGTAACACTCGGGCAAGAACTTTCCCAGCTATTGATAGGAGTGAGATGCCACGATGATTATCACAGGACTGACGATTACCCTTCCTCTTGTATAGCTGAATAATCGAGGCATCTTTCAATTCCTGGGGGATGGATCCTTCAGCCCAGAAGGATTGGAAGAGGTCAGTGAGCTTCTGGATAAATGTGGGACCACCAACTTTATATATCTCGGATGGAATAGCATCTGCACCAGGGCTTTACCACTAGAGAGCTTGTTTATTGCCTCCTGACTTCTGATTCAACAGGTGGAACATCCATGGTCGTGTTGATGTTGACCTGGGGCAACCTGTCTATTGCCTCATCATTGATGGAAGAAGGACGGTTGAGGACAGCTTCAAAATGTTCAGCCCACCTATGCATGATCTTTTCCTTCTCGGTAATTAGTGAAGTCCCATCTGAGCTCAAGAGAGGGGAATTTCCTGACGATCGAGGTCCATATATGGTGTTGAGAGCTTCATAGAACCGCTTTGTATCATTTCTGTCGGCATAGGCTTGGATTTCATCAGCCTTGGCACTGAGCTAGGAATCTCTCATCACCCGCAGCTTACACTGAACTGTTCTCCGTGCACTGGCAAAGGCATTCTTGTAGACTGAAGTTGGATCATCTTGGTAAGCACGATGAAGTCTGTGCTTTTCATCAAGTAGGGCCTGAATCTCCTCATCATTCTCATCAAACCAATCATGCTGATGTCGGGAAGGGTAGCCCAACACTTGCACTGCAGTTGAGTGAACTGTGTCCCTAAAGGATTCCCAGTCTTCTTCGACGTTACCTCCAGGATTGAAGTTGGCAATTTGGGATTCTAGGTCTGTGGATAGAGCTGCATTTGTTTGATGGTTTTTCAGCTTGGCAACATTTATCCTCTTTTTGGTCATGCATCCCTGTGGACGTCTCTTTGGTTTGATGCGGATGTTCATTTTAGAGATGATGAGTCTGTGGTCGGTCCAGCACTCTGCACCACACATGGCCTTGGTAATTCTGACATCCTGCCTGTCCTTCTTCCTGACATTGATGTAGTCGATGAGATGCCAGTGTTTCGACCGGGGGTGCATCCATGATGTTTTGTTCCTGTTGGGCAGCCGGAATATTGTGTTGGTTATAAGGAGACCATACGATGAGCATACCTCCAGCAGGCGCAGGCCATTGCTGTTGCACTTGCCTACCCCACTCTTTCCAATGACTCCATCCCAGGAAGAATCACGGCCTACCCTTGCGTTAAAATCCCCAAGTAGGATCAGCTTATCAGTACTGCGCACGGATGAAAGCATAGTATTCAGATCTTCGTAGAATCTGCCTTTCACATCTTCAGGATTTGTCATTGTAGGTGCATAGGCACTGATGAGTGTGGCCCGTTTACCATCATGTAGATGAATCTGCATTGACATGAGACGATCGTTTTTACCTTTAGGGAGATTGGCAAGCTTTTGCACAAGATGGTTCCTGATGGCAAAATCTACCCCAGACTCCCGGCGCTCATCGGCAGAACGGCCACTCCAGAAGAAAGTGTAGCCACCTCCATATTCAGTCAGCTGCCTCTCATTAGCGAAACGAGTCTCACTCAGTGCTGCAATGTCGATGTTATATCTTGCAAGTTCTCTGGCAACTAAAGCAGTTCTCCTCTCTGGTCTGCCTGATGAAGGGTTGTCAAGTAATGTACGCACATTCCATGTGCCTAAGGTGATCGGTGTCACCTTAAATTTTTTCTTTCCTTTATTTCGACCGCTGGTGTGGGATTCTCGGCAAACGCGGCTTGCTGGCCAGGATGAAGGTTAAAGCAGGTTTTTTTAGGACACCTTTTCTAGTCCCTTCCTCATGTGAGGTGAGCAGTGCATCCCTAAAGAGGGTTGCTCAGACACCCAGGTAGACGCCGAGTTCACTGCTGCTTCAGTCAGTACGAAAGCGACCATTAGACCTGGTCCGCCTGTGTGCAGGTCTGCAACTACAGCTCCCAGTGTATCCACACCTGCAGCTACCAGAGTCACAGAATGGTTATCGTAAGGGCCGTGGAACTGTTGATATGATTTTCGCAGCACGAAAACTCCAGGAAAAGTGTCAAGAGCAGAACCAAGATCTGTACACAACCTTTGTTGATTTGACAAAAGCTTTTGACACAGTCTCCCGTCAGGGCCTGTGGAGAATTATGTCCAGGTTTGGCTGTCCAGAGAAATTCATCTTGATGGTATGTCAATTTCACGATGTTGGCCAGAGTACTAGCTGATGGCGAATACTCCGAACCCTTCCCAGTCACAAATGGTTTCAAACAGGGCTGCGTACTGGCTCCAACATTGTTCAGCATGGTTTTCATTGCCATGCTAACTGATGCTCATTACGATGGTGTAGATGGTATCAGCATCAAATATAGAATGGATGGGAGCGTATTCAACCTACGTAGACTGCAAGCTATCACCAAGGTTAAGGAGACCATCATTCGTGACTTCCTGTTTGCTGATGACTGCGCCCTCAACGCGTCTTCAGAATCGGAGTTGCAGATCAGCATGAATAAGTTTTCCGCAGCCTGTGACAACTTTGGTCTAACCATCAGTACCAAGAAGACAGAGGTCATGCATCAGCCTTCTCCTCGTACACACTACACTGAGCCTACCATACTGGTGAATGGACAGCGTCTGCAGACAGTTGACAAATTCACATATTTAGGGAGCACTCTTTCCAGAGCTGTGACTATTGATGCAGAGGTGAACAACCGGATCGCCAAAGCCAGCTCCGCATTTGGCAAGTTGCGCACAAACGCTTGGGAGCGTAGAGGGATCACCACTGCAACGAAACTGAAGGTCTACTCTGCCATAGTATTACCAACTCTCCCTTTTGCATGTGAATCCTGGACTGTTTACCAGAGGCATGCGAGACAGCTGAATCACTTCCACACAACCTGTCTCCGTCGGATATTGAGAATCAAGTGGCAAGACAAGGTGCCATACACAGATGTCCTTTCTCGATCCAACCAGCCATCCATCTACACCTTGCTGATGAGAGCACAGATCCGATGGGCAGGCCAAATTGCTCGCATGCCAGATGAGCGGATACCTAAGCAACTGCTTTATGGTGAGCTCTCCAACGGCAAAAGATCAGTCGGAGGCCAGAAGAAGCGGTTCAAGGACACATTAAAGACCTCACTGAAGTCCTTTAACATCAACACCGCAACATGGGACAAACTTGCAGGGAACCGATCAACCTGGCGCGATCTCATCTTCAAGGGCTGTCAAGCATCAGAAGAAAGGCGGACTGTGGAAGCCAAACAGAAACGTGAGCTGCGGAAATCAAGAGCAGCCAGTGCTTCAACATCAAATGCATCTCTGGTTTGCCCTTCGTGTTCAAGAACATTCTTTGCCAAGATTGGGCTCATTAGCCACCTCAGAACTCACCGTACCCAACAATCTGTTGTATAGCATATAACAACTGTTATATAGCATATAAAGTCAAATAGACGCATATTGACTATTTAACATGTCATTATAGTGTATGTCATCAACATTTCAATCTTGGGATGAAGAAGAATACTGTGCTGGGGCTCCTGTTCTTCCACATCGTTCTGGTGCATTTATGTCAATTGATTCTGAGGTACTTCAGAATTCTGGGTTTCACAAACCTGTTCTGAAATTTCAGTTTTCTGTATATTTTGTGACATATTTATAGACTAAAATGAAATATAAAGAATTAGCTGAAAGGAATCATCCAAAGGAACAAATTGTGATTTCGAGTGATGATAGTGACCACAATCTCTTTCAAGTGGATCAAAATGTGAAAGATCATTGTCTAAGCTTCTCCGACTGCTATCTAATTTTCAATTTTTTTTCAATATCTTTTGGTTTTTAATACAGACTTCGGTTAACATGAGCCGAATACAAGAACACATTGACAAACGGCGGACTTGAAAATGACGAAAGCATGTTTTTCAAATATGGTAGTTTGAGTATTTTTTGAGTGCAGACGACGTGTTTCCATGTTTGCTGTAGCTATATGCCATTTGTTCGACAACTTTTGATGAATATTAGCCAAACGCATTTAAAAAGCCTTTATAATTTCCGTATAAGTTAGAGTCAAATTTAAAATTCTGTTTCACTGTATTCTTTTAGTCACAGCAATAGAAATATCGTCGCTAGGTTAGTTTTCCGTTAATATTTCTAAGGAGCTATATACAAGTTCTTTGTTTATTTGCTTGAATCTTTTTTTTGCAATGCGGGAGAAACTATAACGCTGATGATTCATCTATAAAAAGAAGGATTGACTCATGTTTTGCAATATAACTACCGTTCGTATCAAAGGATGCAAGTAATTATTTCTAGCACATAGAATTACCTCAGTGAATTAAAGTTAAAACGAATTGTGTTAAAGAAATGTGAACCAGCAGAGAAGTGAGACTCTAACAAATATTCTTATCTTATCTTTAAAAATGAAATTACCTGTAGGACATTCTTTGCATAAGTGCATGCAAAGCTTTTACGTACTTATGGTTTCAGTTAATATATATTTTCTTTATCGTGTGATTTCAGTAATATAAGATTGTTTTCTTAAAATTGGAAAAACAAAATTTATAAACTACGTACATGGTACAGTTTGACAAGACAAATTGTCCTTTCCTGACCCATGATCGTCAGTGGCGTAGCTAGGAAAAATAGTCACTCCCCAATCCTTCTCGCGCCGGAGGACCTAGGGGTCCGGGGCATGCTCCCCCGGAAAATTTTGAAATCCAGAGCCTTGGAAACAGCATTTCCTGCGATTTCGAGGGCGAATTATTTGTTGTAAAATAATTTATAAAAACTCATTTTTGTTAGCTGCATTCTTAATGTGGCAATCGTTGAAACTGCAACTAGTTAAAAAGGTACTAAAGATGGCTCAGAGAAACGTTACGCAGGAGACAATTGTCCCCTAAAACATAATTTACTCATCACTGCCCCTGCATAAACAGAAGAAATTTGTATTAGCACAAAAATAATATAGTATACGACACTTCTAAAGTGCATAGAGAGATTTTTCTTAGCATTCTACTTGTTAGTTTAAACTTGTTTAGATTGGGGCAAGTAGACAGGGATGGCTTTATTCTTTAAAGTTATGCTTAATTTTCTCAATGAAGTACCATGTATTATACGAACAAATATCAAAACACATACTATACTCATCATTTATAAAGAAAGGCCAGCCTCCTGGGTTTTCTACAAATTTTCAACCACCTCGTTATGCAACACCTCTGATTCCTCTTTCTTTTCAATGATATCTTTGTGAATAGATATTCTACACAAAGAGCTAAGCCGACCTTGACCCATTCTATTTCTTAAATAGCTTTTTACCCTTTTAAGCAAGAAAACGACCTCTCTACTGAAGCACTTGCCACTGCCAACACACCATTCAATTTTAACAAATTTACCACTTGACCTAAACTCGACTGGAGATTAAATTTGAAGATGTATTTAAGAACCTCATTACTGCACTCTTTGTGAAAGTCCTTGTCGTTGTAAATGAAGGAAAGTTGACTCTCCAAAGTTTGGATGTCAAAAGAGGACTATACTTATCTTTGAGAAGATTGATCTTCTCCTGTGGAACTATGCCCTTCCATGTAGTAAATAGTTTAGGATTTACAAGGTCTAAAAACTCGAACTGATTAATATCTTGAAATCGTTCACTTAACATGCCTTTAATGGAATCAATAATCTCAAAATAAAGCTGTTTGTAATTGTATCTACTATCTACTCTGGTTGCTGGTGGGCCTACTTTTTCTTGTGCAGTTTGGTAAAACTCGGTGAAAGCTTGATCTGTGCGAAGTAACACAATAAACTGCTTGAAATTGTCAATCTTGCTTATGCCATAGTTAAAATGGGTTTCCCTGTTTTGAAGAATGGAATACAAAATTGTGGACTGTTCTAAAATCCTGTAAAAAACACACACTAGAAAACAAAGAAAGCTATCAAGATAATGCAGTAAGCCACTTATTTTACTTAATGACTCATCATCCCACCCAGCTGGTTGTTCAAGTACCCCTCAAAAATATCTAAAAGTTTTTCATAGTTTTTGTGCAATACATTGATTAATCTAGAGCGATAATACCATCTTGTTTCACCAGGGCAGGAAACTCAAGGTTGTTAGATGTGAGAAAAGCTTTTCTTTTGGGGCATTGCTTGTAAATGTGCTGAATGTAGCTATATTAATAAAAAGATTTTAACAGGAGAAATTGATGAGGCTGACTGACATAGGACCAGGTTCAATCTATGAGCTGCACAATGAACAAAATGAGCAAAAGGATACTCTTGTCGAACCAATGCTTGAACACCATTGATATGGCCCGACATGACGGAAGCACCATCATATGTTTGTAAAACCAGTTTTTCTTTTATATTAGAATACTCACCAAGTTTATCTTTGACAACTTGTGATATTGCTGTGGCATTTCTGTTCATACTTACATCCACAAATCCTAATTGCCTCTCCATAATTTCACTTGCTTTGTCAAACCGAGCAATAACACTTAGCTGCTCTTTGGTGGAGACATCAGATGCTTCATCAACCTGAATACTCATAAATGTGCAATCATTTATTTCCTTTCTGATTTCATCTTCAATAATTGAATCAAGACAGCTGATAAGACCATTTTGAATTTCTGGGAGACTCCAGTAAATCTTCTGTCACCAACTATATCAGATTCTGCTAGTCTACTGTGCAGTCGACGCTCAAATACAGAATCAAACTTAGCAAAACATTCGAGCAACTCTTTATAATTACCTTTGTTCAAGCTACCTTCGGACTCATTGTGACCTCTAAATGGCAACTCTTGCTTTGACAAATACAGCACGGCCTCAGTAACAGTTTTAAAATTTCTCGATTTTGTCTTACCTCCTCATTGTGACGCTGAATCTCATTTCTTCTAGCGAGGGACATAAGACAATCAATTCGTTCACTAGCTCCATACGTTTTCCATGTCTTAAATGCAGTCAAATGCGATTTAGATTTTCATGCTTCTTAGCATCAGACATAATACTCCACATATCGTTGTAGCCATTCTTAGTCCACGATGGCGATGTTTTGGGGAAAACATTAGACATGGCCAACAAAACACTTTCTGCAAGGTTGTACTGCCACACAGCCAGTCCTTCGCCTCATACCAATCTCTCTGAAATGCTCTTCCCTTATTTTGGATAGTTAAATCAGGAGTAGGCCGTTCATGAACGATAACATTCTGTTCGACCGACGATCGAGCAGAGAACGGTTTAGCTAATAAGGTATTTACTAAATCAACATCAGTTGAGCAAATCGCAGTCGCACTTGAAGCCATTGTGTCATACACAAATACAAAATAGCAATTTG